TTACTCGATTTCGCGCCGAATTGGCACGGTCGCCCGATCGATAGTCAGGCGACGAGGGAGGGGGGTGAGAGATCGTACACTGGACGAGCGGACGAGCGCGATCACCGCGGGAAGCGCGACGAGCTTAGACGCATCGCAACGCCCATGCTTCCGGTTTTCCCTTCGCTCCGAATTCTGCTGCCAAGCCTTGCATAATTAATTCATCAACGATCCCACGTAGGCCGGGCCGTGCTTTCTCGCTAGCTTGCGAGCCCGCCGGAACGCTTCTCGCGGGTACGCTTAATTAATTGCCAGTTTCCCCGGGAATTTACCCGGCAATTGTTAAACTTGACGTATTTTTTTGTAATTAGAACGGTTCAACCGATTCGGGCTTCGTGGAATATAAATATTTTTTTAATTAAAACTTTCGCGCTGAGGAAAATCCAGTTTCAGCTTGCTTTTTCAAACTTTACTTCGTTTTTTTCTAGAACAAAGTATTTTTTATTCCGCTGAAAAAGGGCGTAACAGTTTACCAACTGACTCTCAATTAGACGCAAGATTGCTTATTGGAATGGTATTTGTAGGAAGTTTCGTCATCTTCTTCGGAGTAAAATGAGATTTGAGCGCTTCCAGCGTCGTATAAACGTTCATGCAAATTGGATGAGACACTGTTGTTCTCGAGCGCGCCCACGCGCGACATCGCAGAGGTGTAACTTTATTTATTGACCAAGTATTTCAAGTGCTCGGCATGTGCGCCGACCGCTAATCTAATCCGTGACGTCTCTTTCTTCGCTCGCGACAGAACAGTCGCTCCGCTGCACTTGCCGGCCCCGCTTATCACTTGCATCTCTCGTGCGAAACGCGCGAAACGCGCGCAACGCGCGCGACGGGGGAAGGTGTTCTCTCCTCGTTGCTATTTGCAATTCAACGCGAGCTGCAAACGAGGCGTCGCAAAGGAAAGGCTTGGTTTCGCCAAGAGTACAAATGGGGAAAAAATACTTGCATCGGAATTCGATCGTCATTGCGAGCGAAGCGCCACTCGTCGCGAAGAACGAAACCCAATCGTCGCAGCGCGCAGTTTTTTACACAAAAGCGGACAACAGACAACAGCACACCACCCCCCGCACGCGCTAGAAAACGCAATCAAGCCGAGCGTGTAACACGGCAACACGGCGGATGAGCATTTTTTGTCGATTCCTTAGACGAAAGAACAACTAAACGGAAAAAAAAGAGAGAAAGAAAGGTTCTCGCGCTAGACTACATTGTTAGGTTCCCGTGTGCGCGAGCAGTTATAACGGTTGGGATATCGCTATGGATGGTCCGCCGCCCATCTATCTGGTTCAATTATCAAGAGCTCGATTACGAAGCTTCTTCGAAGGCACGAGAAAACGCGAGCGAGCGCGGCGCGGAGAAGTGATCGCAGACCGTTCGGCCCGATGAAGGCGCGCTTCGCAGATCCGCGGCTCTACGTGGACGCGGAGAGGCGCGAAGTGAAGCGCGGCTGAGGGCACTCTGACGCGCGACCGTTTGATGATGAGCCGACGAGTGTGGCCGCTCGCTCGGAAGACATTATCGCTCGAGCGAAAGAGGCAACAGGTTGAAAAGAGAGGAGAGAGGAAGGCGGCGCGTGCTCGCGTGTGTTACGTAAGCGAATGAAAAATTCAGTTTTGCCGGTGGAACGGGAGAGGAGGAGAGACAACAAAGCAGGCTCGCTGGCTGCTCGAAGCCGCAGCAGTGGCGGCGCGTCTGCCCGGAAAGTAGGTCGGCTTCGTAATGTGGAAGCACTAAGCGGAACTCGCGGCAGGGGGACTCCTCTCTTGTCTCTCTGTACGTAGTAAAGGGTGAATTCGCTCTCTGAAAATACCACAGGCGGGAGAAATCACGACGATGCGTGGAGCGAAATCAATACGTTTTCGTTTCTTTCTTTTTCCAGGTGTAATTGCATTTTCGTGTAGGTCGCGCTGCCAGCGTGAAATGACCGCGATTGGCAAAAAGAATACGGTAGTAATGGCAAGGCGAAGTGGTGTTTTCGGTCGCGAAGTGTAGCTTGTTAAAACTATAGAAAATTGCATTACGCGTGCGATAGAGAGAGAGAGAGAGAGAGAGAGAGAGCGTATACGTTCAACAACCACGGTGTTATTACCGATAATAAAATTTTCCGTGCTCACGGCGCACTGTGGCTGAAAAACAAGTATAAAGCACGAGACAGAAAAGCTCCGATACGCCGTTAGATATAATTACTCGGCAGCACAGTATAATCGATCGGTATACGTATATATGTATACCTGTGTGTGTGTACGTGCGCGTATATACGTTTGTGTAATTAATAAAAGCGCGCTCTCTCTCTCTCTCTCTCTCTCTCTCTCTCTCTCTCGCAGACGAATAACAATGCAACTGGTTGCCGTGCGCGCACGTGCAAACTTTTTCGCTCGCTTGGGTAAAAGTTGGCTGTTTGGGATGCCCCTTTTCTCTCTCTCTCTTTCTCTCTCTCAATTTGTTCATTTTTTTTTGTTTTTGCAGTTGGCTTCGCGCTTAATTGACGTCGACAACGACGCGTGCACGATTTTTCTCATCCGCGGAGAGGACGAATACGCGCTGCTCGAATTTACTTAGCCGCATTGATTGCATTTGAAGCGATATTTCACAATGAATGGTTTGTGAATCTAAGCAGAACAATTTTTATAGGAAAGAGAGGCTAATTATACGGGACTCGTGAGATTGGTTTCTTTTTGTTCTTCAGAAACACGTAGTTATTTAGTTGGAGGAAGGGTTTTCCTCAATAAACAGCCTCCGCGAATTGAGCATTGTTTATTGTATACAAAGCTATTGTGGGTCGAACAGACGCGTATTCATGGCATTCGATGGAATTGGCAGGTCATCAAATCGATCATCATCGAGTCGATAAGCGCACAGTCGAGTCAGGCGGCGCGCGCGTGACAACTTGTCCGCGAATTTTCGTCGGCAAGACCAGCGACACTCGGCCGGCGAAGGCGACGAGCCTGCCGTTCGATTCCTACCGAAAGTCCATTCCTCTCTCGCGCACGTATACGTGTACGCCGATGGCTATCATCGCTTGAAATGCACGTCGAGTCCGCCACTTGGTTTTCTGACGACGTGCTTGCGCGCGTTTTCATACGGTACCTCGGCTCGCTCGCTGCGGTTACGTACCTCCTCCAACGCGGAGCTGCGAAGAGAGGGAGGGGGGGAGGAGGGGTGGCCGAGCGGAATCACGGTTTGTTTGTAATTGCCAGCAACATCGCCGTTGTGTCCGCTCGCTTGTCATTACTCGTTTTCCTGGAATATGTATTTGTCCTTTTGCGCGAGCTTTCGCCAGCGGAGCGATAACTCCGTGTCGGACTTTTCGCGTGCGTACAACTAGCTCGATTAAATTTTTTTTTTAATCGTCTATCAAGTATCGCTCAACAGCGTATTTGTCACGTAAACCGTTGTGTTTTCAAGGTCTCCTCGCTGGCTTCGTTTCGCAACAGCCTCCTTTTTTACTGTTTACACTGCTCTGTCCATTTCTGCTTCTGTTTTCCTTAGGCGCGCTTCAGTTTGCGTTGCGATACTACGAGGGGATAATTGCTTCAGGACGTGCCAAGTTTACGCGATATGCAGCATCTTATTGCGGCAGATGGTCGGTTGTTGGGATAAGTAAGTTGCGAATTCGCTCTTGCAAGTTGATAGCGCTGTTAATAACGGTGCAGACGATAAAATCTCTCATCGATAAGCGGAGACAGCGGAAACGCTGGAGTTACTTCAAGGCGTTTTCCATCGGCAAAAGTAATCGCCTGTTAAGTGAATCGTTATACTGCTGACTTGAAAGATGCCTCGCAATGTACGAATATGCAATGATGACTACAGCCAAAAATTCTTCGACAATGAATAGGAAGCAAAGAAGGAGAGCGAGAGAGAAAGAGAGAGAGAGAGAGAGAGAGAGAGAGAGAGAGAGAACAGCAAGGAATTAATTATCGCAGCCATAATGAAATCGGAGGCAGCTCACTACGGAAACGGAATTCAATAAGCTACCGACTGACGTGCATACCTCGACTGGCTGTATATCGATGAGCGATCGAGCCTGTACATATATATGCCAGCTATAAAATCGATGACGAGCCCAGCTATGCATACATAGTCGGCGGCGCGTGTTCGCTGGCGCGTTCGTAATAACAATGTTGAGAAAAAAAAAACTAACCGCAACTCGCGATGAAGCTTGCGCAGTACGCGCTTTAGCGGATTAATGAATTTCCATGTGAAAACAAGATAAAGAGGAAATAATGCTAATTTATCTTTGCCGATACACGTGAAATTCGTTGCATCTCATGGACATGCTCAGAGAAAGAACTGTTGGGCTTATCGCACCTTGCAGAAATGAAACATACTGGCGTTACCGAATGTTGTAATGCACAATAGACACACCGCGAAGCTCACAAAAACGCAGGCTCGTCCCGAAAAAAAAATATAATGGTGATTTCAATGAAGCTTTGCTCACATTCGATAAGAAAAGAAAGCCCGAGAGAGAGAGAGAGAGAGAGAATCAACACCGTCAGTCACGATTAGAACTCGGATTATAGAAAGAAACAAGAATGAAAGATGTACGTGAAGCGTGTTGTGTGGGTTGTTTGTATGTGTCTGGAATGCGGCGAAGTGGCATTTTTATCTCGTGATGAATAAAAGGCCAAGTGAGTTGGTCTAGCCCGCGATTGTGACTCATGATAATACTCGAGAGGCTTGTGTGTGCGTGCGTGTGTGTACGTCTGATGGTCGTAAGAGTTCTTTTCATGAATGAAACGCGCCGTCGGTCGCGGCGGCGTAACAAGGCGAAGAAGCCTTTTCCGGCTGAAGGCCGTCCGCTCGAGCCCGCGAATCTCCATTCAGTAGCCGTTTCGATTTGGCGCGTTCGTTCTTAAATAGCCCAATTAACGGCACGGCCGTGTGCCCGAGCATGTAACGCCAACTCTTATGCTCGATTACGCGACCGGTGTTGCGTCAATTTCATCGTAGTGTCATTGTTGTTGCAGAAATTCCGGAGATTCCCGAGAACATCAAGAACCTGCGATCGCTACAGGTTGCCGATTTCAGCAGCAATCCTATACCAAGGTCAGTATTTTTTTCTTCGCAGTCGTCAATGTTGGCTATTAATTAATCCGTACGAATAATTTAAAGCTGCACCGTACCCCGTAAGAAGAGCTTCTTCTTTTCTTTGCGTAATAGATTTTATGATGTTAATTTCAGATGAGGTTTATTTAATTTGAAAACGCGAGTCTTGAGCTGAGAAACACTGTGATAAGTACCGTTAGTTTGGAACAAAACACTCCATGCATTATAATTAATCTTCTCTTCCTTGTGTATTCTCGATAAATTCATTAAAAAAGAAAGGAAAGAAATATACCCTCTAATGTTTTCTCCCACCACGTGATGATTACAATTAGTAGCAACCCGATTTTCTTGGTTTTCCCCCTCCCCCTGACACAGACGCACGCACAATGAGATCGTTTGGCGAACGAAATATGTGATTATTAGGTAATCCCACGTGATGAGAGAAAAAGTCAAGAGCCCCTCCAGTCCTCGTTTTTACCACCTAATCATTAGCGAGAAATTTGTTTGCATGCTGGGTGCAGTTCTCTCATTAAAATTCAGAAAGTGTATACAGCATGCTTCTTGGCCAAGGTTCTTCCGAAAGAAAAGGAAAGTGGTCAGGTCAGATAAGCTGTTCTTTCTTGCAGGCTACCTTCCGGCTTCGTCGAGCTGAGGAATCTCACAGTCCTCGGTCTCAATGACATGTCGCTGTCACAGTTGCCGCCAAATTTCGGGGGGTAAGTTTAGCAATGACATTAACATTCGAGGACGACAGGCAGCTTGACAGCCGAGGGAACTCGTTGGTTTCGCAATTTTCCAGACTCGAGGCGTTACAGTCGCTGGAGCTGAGGGAGAACTTGCTCAAGTCATTACCCGAGAGTGTCTCACAGTTGAGAAAGCTCGAGCGGTTAGATCTTGGCGATAATGACATCGAAGAATTGGTAATTGTTCGCTCGAATATTTCCCTCGCGAACCTCTCCCGTGGTGCTCTCACGGGAAGAAACAAGTTTTATGAAAGTTTGATGAGACGACGCGCACACTTTTTCGACGGATTTTCTTGCTGCTGCTTGCTTTATTTATTACAAAAGTTTCGCGATATCCCGTTTCGTTTGCTCCGCTTTATGAGTTTCAAATGTTTGCGCCTTTTTTTTTGCTTTTTTTATTTATTTTTTTTATTTATTTTTTTTTTTCATGCGAGCTCCTCTAACGACTGTTTATTTTTGTTGTACCGTTATCGCGCGATGAATTTTCTTCGGAGCTGCTCTGTGAAAACGTAATTGGTTCGATTTTAATTTACTGCTTCCGTCTTCGGATGAGCGCAAGAACAGTTGAATCGGTTTCTATCGCGAGAGCTATTTACGCAAGGGTATCATTAAAAAAGCGGTCTGATGAGCCGTGCATCATTTAAAGCCACCATACATCGGCGAGTTACCCGCATTGGAGGAGCTTTGGCTGGATCAAAATCAGCTGCAGCACCTACCGTCGGAAATCGGCCAACTGCGTACCCTCGTGTGCCTGGACGTATCGGAGAATCGTCTCGAAGACTTGCCGAAAGAAATTGGCGGACTGGAATCGCTGACCGACCTGCATCTCTCTCAGAACGTAATTGAGAGGCTGCCCGACGGCATAGGTCAACTGAAAAATTTGACGATTCTCAAAGTGGATCAGAATCGTCTGTCGGCGCTGAATCCCAATATCGGCAATCTGGTCAACCTGCAAGAGCTGATACTCACGGAAAACTTCCTAATGGAGCTGCCCACGACGATAGGCAAGCTCGTCAATCTCAACAATCTGAACGTGGATAGGAATAGCCTGCAGTACCTACCTACGGAAATTGGTGAGCAGACACACCTTTCACACCTTTCGTCTTTCCAGCCCGCGAGGGTGGCCTATGAAGTCTACTTTTCCGAGGACAATCGCGAGGAAACTCGTTCACTCTGCTCGGAAGAGCGCTCAAGCTCGATTACGTCCGCGACTAATTTCGTTCTTCTTCTGTGCTCTTCTCTTAACCTCTTCCGCCTTGTCTCGTGCTCCCCAGGCAACTTGAAAAAGCTCGGCGTCCTGTCGCTGCGAGACAACAAACTGCAGCACATGCCTTCGGAGGTCGGTCAATGCACCGACCTCCATGTGCTCGACGTGTCCGGCAACAAATTGCAGTTTCTACCCTACTCGATGATCAATTTAAATCTGAAGGCCGTATGGCTGAGCGAAAACCAAGCCCAACCTATGCTCACCTTCCAACCGGACGTCGACAAACAGACCGGCCAGGAGGTGCTCACTTGCTTTCTTCTGCCGCAGCGTGACTATCAGCGCGACGGTGAGTTATGCTATTCTCGAATTAATGCGTTATAACGAGGTCGACGTCGCGAGATATCAGCAGCTCTCAGGCTCTTCAGTCAGACCAGTTTAATTCGTTAGTCACCTACGCTCGATTATTTCGAAGGATGGCTAACTGCAGTCCTTAAGTTTGAAATGCAACTGTAACGAGTGAATCATTAGAATAGCCGGCGAAGGTGCTTCTCTAGTCTTCGCCGTCGATTACACCAAAGTGAAAGCGCATTAATGATCCGTTGACGAAAACATTGCATTGCAGACACCACGAGATTGAACATGATGGTGGGTATGCGAGAGAACGTAATAGGAAGCCATGTGGGTCCAGGAGGGGCGCCACCGAGCGGTGGTGAGATGCGCGAGGTTGGCGGCAATAGCAGCGACGAGGAAAACTGGTCGGAGCGCGAGCCGTCGCGCAGTCACAGCGTCAAATTTTCGGACGAGCCACCGGAAGCCGACAAGGAGGTGAGCTCCTCGAGTCCCGTATATCGTCTCCCTTAATCTTCATTTCTTTCTTTCACTTGTTTTAGCGCGACCTGCCCCCTCCTCGTTTTTTTTTTTTTGCTCCTTATGCTCAACTTCTATCTATATCTATCTCACTATACAATACTTTTGCATGCTTGGAACAGCAAGCTGGGCTCTCTCGCTCGCTCTCTCTCTCTCTCTCTCTCTCTCTCTCTCTCTCTCTCTCTCTCTCTCTCTCTCTCTCTCTCTTTCTCTCTCTCTCTCTTTCTCTTTTTCTCTATCTCTATCTCTCGCGTAGCAGCAGATCAGAGACATACACCAACGGCAAGCTGCTGCGGCTATCTGCTCTGTGCTTGTCACGATGATGATGCGTATCTACATGAGAGCACGCGACTTGATTACTTCTTTTGTAATAGTTTTTTTCCTTTGTTTTTGGTTTTTTATTATTACAAGCCACTTGTGTATCTCACCGGTTTTATATATATCGCATATACTATATTTTTTTTTATGCTCATTGTGTCAGATGATTATATCGATGTGCGAGAAATTTTTGTGTATCGTATCTTCATTGCAGTACTCATTCGAGCGACTTGTTCTCATTTTTTTTTTTCGTTTTGTGATTAGATCGAAGGCGGCTTTTCTTTAACTATTTTTTTAAATTTCGAGTGGCTACAGTTGAGATTGCGATGGATATCGTTTTAGACAAGAATAGACAAACAGCTGTTTGCTTTTTCTTTCTCTTGTGTATATCTCATATAGCAATAGCTGAACGTGATTATGTTTTGAGTTGATTCACTTATCAGATCATTAAAGAAACTTTTATGATTTTTGTCATACATCATAGATATTACGACATAACTGTTTTATTTAGATAACGATAAAATGAAACCTGCACGAAAAATCTTGTCAGAAAAAAACTAATGAAATAATCACAATTACGCACGGTCAAAAGAAACTGGAATTAGTTGATGATTTTTCAGGTTAAATTTCGGTTTTTCTTCTCTTGGTGCCTCGGTGGTGCCATGTGAGCAATTAACGGTCCAAAGGTATCTGGTGTAATGTCTACGTTTAATTAATATGTATGTTTTTTAGTTGTCTTTCTCTTTTGTTTTCTATATACGGTAATGCACTGACGATACGATATGCTCCTATGTGCAGTAGTGAAAGATATCTATTTTTTTCTTTTCTTGGATTATACGTATTCATTATTACTATATCTATTACTATATATATATGAATCTCTAGATTTACTATATATATATATTATAATAATAATATGTTTGTGTGCGTGTGTTTATGGATTGCATGCGATATTCAGCACGTCACTGACAATCACTATAAGTACTCGTACAATCACTAACAGCCGTTAAATACACGATATTACTTCTCACTTAACACCTTGTTATTACCATATAAACCTGAAAAAACAAACCACCATTTCTGTCACGCATCCATATAGACAAAATGAAAAGTGAATATATACAATCTGATATAAATATACATGTATCTATAATTATAAACGTATTAAACCCAATCGATGTTTCACAGCAAAATAGAGAAACCGAAAACTTAACGTATGAATATTTAGTCAAAGGCATGCCTATAAGTAAAACCATGTATTCCCACAGACTCCGTTCGTGAGACAGAACACTCCTCATCCGAAAGAGCTGAAGGCGAAAGCCCACAAGCTCTTTAGCAAGGGAAAGAACGACAGTCGTTCTGCATCCGCAGACGAACAGGTGAGTAATAGCTGTCTTGATAATCATCTAGATATGTTGCACCATCTCCTGTAAGCCAGGCAAAAACCAAATAAACAAAACATAATGAAACGCGTCAACGTGCGTGCGACGGCGAACTAAACGATGCTGTTGGTCTCCATATTGACAGGATGTCTCGCAAGCGTTCGGCTTGGACAGACTCGAGGAACAAGAGCAGCAGCAGCAGCAATCAGTGCAGCAGCAGCAGCAGCAGCAGCAGCAGCAGCAGCAGCAGCAGCATCAGCAGCAGCAGCAGCAGCAGCAGCAGCAGCAGCAGCAGCAGCCGGAAGTAGTAGTAGCAGTGAGCAGTAACGCAGCCAACGGCAGTTCCGCTGGCGCTGCACCTGCGCCAAGCATCACTAAACCCGAGGCCATCGGCGTGAGTCTTTCATTATCAGTCCAAAGCGACAACTTGTCATACGAAGCATATCTCTCTCTCTCTCTCTCTCTCTCTCTCTTTATCTCTCTCTTTATCTCTCTCTTTCTCTCTCTCTCTCTCTCTCCCTCCCTCGTTCTTATACAGCCACGCTCTCTCTCGCTCGTTCGTTTGTTTCGTATTACAGCTATCATACTAAAAATAACGATTTTTCCAAAACATTGAAAATATTCATTTATGTCGTTCACTCGCGCGGAGATTAGCTCCTGGATTATACCTATATAGATGTACATGGGCTTTAGTTTTATCTTTACCGTAAAATAAACTCTTTGCGCGAGATACACAGCGCTGTGTACAATTTGCTTATTTACTTTTTGCGTCTTTGGTTTTACTTTTTCTCTGGAGTTTATACTTTGTAGATAGTGCTTACTTTGGATGACCTCTCAAAGACTGAATCGGCTTTTTTTTACGGTGTAAATATTTGTTATCATTCGAAAGCAGTATCTAGAAAAAAATAAAATACGACTGTGAAAATGCAAACTAGTCTAATTGCCAGTCATATAATGATCGAGAGCGGTCGCGTCTGAGCAAATGAAAATTTACAACGGTACGTGAAAGGCATTCAAAAAATGCGAGCTTATCAGCGATGAATCATGTCAATTAAGCAATGCATATCTCCGAAAGATACGAGAGCTCGCGGGACAGAGAGCGCGAGTTTTAAAGTAAAGTCGAAAATACAACCACCCATTTAACGAAAGAAGCGAAGACAGAGATTGTGTATGATACGCGTGTGGTGCGCTGTGGGCTCCTGATTGCAGGAGGCGCATCGACAAGTTCAAATGAGAGTTAGGTCGAATGATGAGGATGATGAGGATAATGGCGTGGGTGATGATGACGATGAGTCGGAGGGCGAGAGGCACGTGGACTTCGCCATAAGCGAGGAAGCGGATTTTGGGGAGGGGGGTGGTGGGGTGGCTGCTACTGGCGAGAGTGGCAAGCAAAACCGTCTGCATCGTCGGGACACCCCGCATCACCTGAAAAACAAACGTATTTACAGTACGGTCGACAAGGATAAGGTCGCTTCCATCATTGCTCAGGTTAGCACTCTCGACTTACTTCTCTCTTTTTTTTCTTCCACTCACGATTTTTTGACGATTTCATTCTTCTCCTTCTCTTATTACTTTTGTCTGTTTTTTTTTCTTCTCTCTACCTACGATGATTTTTACAGTCTTCAGCTTTAATGCCAAAGATGGACCTCTATACCTAATTTGATTTTAATGGCTTCAGAGCTCCGAACTGCTTTCTCCTTTTTGGCGCTAAAGATTTTTTGTCTGTTTTTTCTTCTTTTTTCAATTTTCCTATCTAGTTTATTGTTTGTTTCTCTTATTATATACGCCACACATATCGCTATATTTTTTCTGTGACACTTGTTTGCGTTATATAGTTTGTCCAAACTCCTTACAAGATAAATTATTATATTTCCGTAACATATATACTTTGTACTGAATCTATTTTTATTTACATGTATATTAGTGACAAACAATATTGTATAATACACAACAGCATGTGACGAATGTAGTGTATGAAAAATAATGATCACAGGCTCTTTTAGCTACTTAGATGTGCTTATGTAGCTAATACTTGCATCGTTCGTATTATTTTCTTCTTTGTCGCACTTCGTTAATTAGACATGAGTTTAGACATTTTTGGCACTTCTCTATGCTTACTTGTTCGTATACTAGCATGACTCTTTTTTAATATCTTCGTTATATAAGCTATATATATCTAGCTAGAGAGTAAAAGTTATATTTTTCCTTGTCGTATCTCTGTAGTTTCTTAAATTGTGCATAATATAGGTGTGATTTGATGGAAACTGACTCGTCACTTTTTGTTCTCTTTGCATTCGATATTGTTCATGTTCCTTACTTTTACTAGAATTCTCTCTCTCTCTCTCTCTCTCTCTCTCTCTCTCTCTCTCTCTCTCTCTCTCTCTCTCTCTCTCTCTCTCTCTCTCTCTCTCTCTCTCTCTTGTTCTGCCTTGCTCATACTTCTCGTTTATTTTTTTGTGTACGTGTGCCAATGTTTCCTTGATATACATTTCGATGATATTAACTATATTTACATTTTTTGTTTAATTCTTATCCGCCTGCTTTTATTGTTTTTGATTAATCACGTACTTGGTTTTTATCTTCAATCCATTTTATTACTTACACAATAATTATCAGTGTCAAAATAGAATAATGATCAATAAGTTGCGTTGATTAACCATTAACCACACCAATGGTTCTAGGTGATTGAGAGATAGCCAGCAAAAGTAATTTACCTTTTCACGTTTGCAGGCGCTGATGAAAAAAACAGAAGATACGCAGCCAGTAAGCGCGGCAGTATCCCCAGCTTATCCGACATATGGCGAGAACGAGAACGTCGATGGACATAGCCAAGGTGGGTGTCTCATTCGGTTTTGTCACTCGATGTTTCGCATAGAGCACGACTAATAACGTAACGGCTTTATTTCAACGAACTTATATGCACCTAGAAACCCATGCGTGCGTTCTATGCTTAACGGCATTAGCTGCCGATAACGGCGAATTAGCGTGAAACAAAATAGAGCACCGGCAGTATGTGTGTGTGTGTGTGTGCGTGTTAGGGCTGCACTAAAGATACAGCGGCTTAACAACTCGCGCTTTTTCGTTTTTTGCGCAACAACACAGGAAAAGTAGAGCGCCACCTCTTCTTCCCCTCTATTTTTCAGCGCTCCGATCTGTTTGCGATAGACGATCCACGATAAGATATCTCACCGAGTTGCCTTATCTCTCTTTGAGTTGGCACTGCGTTTTTTAGTCGTTCGCTACACGCGCATTCGAATGAATATGGCATATCGATGCACATCGGTTAATTCGCGCGATGCCGAAAGTTTATAAACTCTACGTGAGAAATCACAGGCCGAAACGTCGCAGGCCTGTGTCCTACTTAAGTACGTTTGTCAATAATTTGTTCGCGTATGCGTGCGCTTGTGCGCGCGCGTGTGTGTGTGTGTGTGTGTGTGAGAAACTATAGGAGCTTTATTGATAGACTCTATATGTTTAACTTACAGGTGCACTGTCGGATACCGAGCCATCGATAGAGATACGCGAGGAACAGTATGAAATTCATATCGAACGAACGACTGGCGGTTTGGGACTATCAATTGCTGGTGGTATTGGCTCCACGCCGTTCAAGGGTGACGACGAAGGCATCTTTATCTCGAGGGTTACCGAAGGTACGTCAACTTTCATCAGGAATACGTGATCTGTAAAGGGAAGAAAGTATTGGCTGACTTGCGGATCGAGTTAAGCAGCGCAGGCTTGTAATCGCGCTGCACATCTACGAGCGAGCAAGTGAAGAGCCTCTGTATAAAAAAAGCCCGTTCCTTTTTTTTATTTTTAAAAGGCGGACCGGCAGACTTGGCGGGCCTGAGGGTAGGCGACAAAGTGCTCTCCGTCAACGGTACCTCCGTCATTAGCGTCGACCACTACGATGCTGTGGAGGTTTTAAAAGCTTGCGGTCGCGTTCTCGTCTTGGTCATATCTAGAGAAGTTACGAGAATAGTGCCGCCATCCGAGCAGGTAAGCTTGTCGACACATGGCAATTTTCGCTCTGTCTGTCTGTCTGTCTCTCTCTCTCTCTCTCTCTCTCTCTCTCTCTCTCTCTCTCTCTCTCTCTCTCTCTCTCTCTCTCTCCCTCCCTCCCCACCCTCTTTCTCTCTCTCTCTCTCTCACTCTCTCACTCTCTCTCTCGCATTTTTATTGGTTGGGTTTACGCTTGTTCCTTCAAAGATATTCTTTTTCAGAACAAACTGTAGTATGGTTCATTCTATTACGATTGGTATTTTTTTTCGTGTCATCGGCAAACAGTAGTTTTTTTTTGTTCGTTCGAATCAGCGAAGTAGTTCTTTGCAAGCTTTAGCATGCCACAGAGCTTTTTCTCTCGTTACAAAGAACATTTGATTGAAAGGTTAACAATGTAACATTTAAATATCCAGATGTCGATGCGAAAAGACTCGGTAAGTTCAAGTATGAGTACAAGCCGAGCACCCAGTGCGACATCTTATGTATCATCAACCACGTATTCCCATAATCTCGAGAACGGCGAAACCGATGAAACGATAAATAAGGTTGACCAATTAATAAGCCTGCATTTCTCAAAGACAAACGACAAGCTTTCACCGATTGAGCATCCTTTTTCCGTTGCGTTTTTGCAGAAAAAAATACCCGAACCTCTCCCACCAATCAAGCAGCCCACAGCGGACCCTTTGGTACCCGTACTAGTTCACACGACGTTGATTAGAGATCAAAATGGATTAGGTTTTAGCATTGCCGGAGGCAAGGGCTCACCTCCGTATAAGCCGAATAGCGAAGCTATATTTATATCCAAAATAACCGAAGGCGGAGTGGCGCAGAAGGACGGCAAGTTGTGCGTCGGCGACAAAATAACATCGGTAAGTGCTACGACACGTACTAACGAGGAATGTAAATGCAAGTCGAGCATCACTTTGAATCGAAGAGATAATGACTTTATTATTTCGTTGGTAGATTAATGGAGTAGATATGACCGACGCGCGGCACGAGCAAGCTGTGACTCTGTTGACAGGCCTGGAGAGGTTTGTTCGACTAGTGGTCGAACGCGAGATACCTTTGTCACAAGCGAACGCTACTTTTACACCTTCAGAAAAGTCACCTCTGGTGATCGGTACTCCTAAACCTTACACTGGCTTATACAGCGCCAACAGTTACATGGCCAATCGGCCTGCTCTGACTGCTTATCGTCGCTCGATAGACGCCGACAGAATGCTGTCACCCTGTCCCGTCTCCGCATATCCACCGCCCTTGATAATTGACTCGTCGACGTTGTCACCACCCATCAATGGTATCGCCAAGATGAACGGCGTCGAGGAGGTTAAAAAAATTGTTACCACTACCACTACTAGCCCTACGCCACCGCCTCCGCTTCATCCTCAGCCCGCTCCAAGGCAGAGCATCAATCAACCAACGCAGCCACAGCTAGCGCAGCCTTCTCGACAGTCACAACAGACGAGGACGCCAACACCTGGTGCCGAAGACAAAGCAGACTCACAAGAAGACATTCAGGTACCGAAGCCAATCACCAACGAGGAATTTCAGGCCATGATCCCCGCTCACTTCCTTCGACCCCCGACAAACTCCTCACCCCCGCCAGACTTTTCCTCCCAAAAGGGGCCCACCGTCACCGTGACAATCAAGCAGCCCGAGACTGGACTGCCCGGGGACATTAGTTTCCCACCGGCACCAAAGACTATTGGTAAAGTTACGGAGACCATCACTAAGAGCACACTCACCGAGACTGTCGTGACGCGTGTCACCGACAACCAGCTACTCAGGCCGGTCATTATCGAGGTACGTGCCCGATACCAACAAAAAACAGCAACATTTCAACTCCGGCTCTCCGTAACTCATTTGCAAAGCTTTTTGTTATTTTCATTTGTACATATTTTTTCCTTGTTATTGTTGTTTTTGGAAGGGTGCTCCTATAGTTTATCCTTCTATCACAAAGAGATATTTAATTCTTTGGATTCACTTTCTCCGTTAAATATCTAAACGAATAAAAACTTCTTGATTTTTGTTTGCATGCGGTTTTCGATATTAGTTAGAGTTGTAGTCACTTTGTAATTTTTGAGAAATGAGTAAGTTTCTTCTTTCTTTAATTATACACATTGTGATTTTTTAAGGGAGCACTCTCGACTAGTCACATTTTGGAAAATCAAATTCAAACGACATTGTAATAACAATAATCAGTTTCAAATTTCTCAAGCTTTATCTATCACACACTTTCAAAAAGCACCTACTACTTACGCATACCAAATTTTTTTGTGTGAAACCGTATAAGAACGAGTTTTTAAAAGGTAATATTACATCACAGTCACTGCAATTTATTGGCTTGTAGAAAAACAATATTTGTAAATATATGATACTTAGAAAAAGGAATGGCGGATCGGCTTCCTCAACATTACTGTAGATGCAAGTGCGTAAATTGTCCTGTGTGTTTGTGTTTATTCGTCCACTTGTCCAAAACTACCATTCCTGCCTCCCTATAAACTGGCCACAGTTTTTTAGAAACAAGAAAAAATTGCTTAATTAATTTTAATTATTTCTCGACTCGTGTATACCATGAGCCACACGAGTTTCTTATGCTGATTGTACACAGTATCATAATAACTTCAGTAATATTATCACAAAAAACATCCACAAGTATGATGTGCAAGTCTATTAACACTGATTGTCAATCTTCAGGATGTTGTTCTTATTAAGGAGGGATCTCTTGGATTCAGCATTATCGGAGGTACCGATCACTCTTGCACGCCGTTTGGAGCGAAAGAACCAGGAATTTTCATTTCCCACGTAAGATTTCGTCAAGATTTTGTTGACCCAATGACATTTTTAATTCGTCACAGCGTGCATCTCTGCTAAAGTATTACTAATTGCAACAGGTTAAAGGTAAATATATTTTTAGGTGGTTCCCGGTGGTATTGCCGCCAAATCAGGTAAATTACGTATGGGAGATAGAATATTGAAGGTCAATGGAGTTGATATTACCAAAGCAAGACATCAAGAGGCTGTGATGGAATTACTCAAGCAAGGAGACCAGATAGTTTTAACCGTTCAACACGATCCACTGCCGGAAAATTATCAAGTAAATATTGTTACTATAGTTATCACAAAGTATTTCTATTACCACTCGTAGAGCTTCAAAAGTATCAAATCACTTCGCTGCTCGTCTAGGTAGCTTACAGCAAGGCACAAATATGCATCAAGTGATAAGACTATATAGACAAAACGCTACTATGGAATCTCGTAAAAAATTCTTTACACTGTTTTTCATAAAAATGTCACTAATTGCATGGCTTCTTTTAGAGATACCGAATCTATTTATTTCTGTTAAAAGAAAAGACTAAGCAGTTCAAATTAATCAAACTCTTATCTCTATTAACTAAATATACTTTGTATTTGAATTACAATTTCTAGAATTATTAAATTAATAATATTCAGTGTAGGCATTTACTATTATTTTCAATAATCTAGGTTGATTCTCATTCATTGAATCTTCATTACTCGTATAACCGATATCTGCAAAGTATTAAAGCGGTTTTTCTTTGCCTAATGCAACTGCGTGTCATTTAATTTCTCAAGCTGGTCGATATAGAGTACATCCCTGTGACAGTAAGTACTCCGAGAAAAATGTATGGCCCCTGTATAAAATCCCTCTACTGACAAATGTATCTAATCTATTTCACACACTAGCACACTCTTTTATTGCCGTCGCTTTTTGATACACAACACTCCGATTACTCTGAGATGTATACTGAATGCAGCTTTTACGTAGACTCACAGAATTTTAGCTTGCACATGTAGGTGTTGAGAAACAGGTTGTTTTTTATTTTCAAAGTTTGATATTCTCTCTTTTCTTGAGTTCAAAATAAAAGAATTTTTAAACACTTTACGAATCTAATTGTTGTTAAATTTTTTCAAAAGATAAAAAATAACACGTGAAACGTTTTTTAGGAACTCATAATTAGAAAAGAACCTGGCGAAAAGTTAGGTATGCATATCAAAGGTGGACTGAAGGGGCAACGGGGCAATCCCCTTGATCAAAGCGATGAAGGTGTTTTTATCTCTAAGATTAACTCTGGTGGTGCAGCAAAACGTGATGGTCGTTTGAAGGTAGACTAATTCGAACGTTGAAATTTAGTATTAGCTTTGTAAATAGTTATGTTAAGTGGTAACGAATTCCACAGGTTGGCATGCGATTGCTCGAAGTAAATGGTACATCTCTTCTCGGTGCAACACATCAGGAAGCTGTGAATATATTGCGAAGCTCCGGAAATATTATTACTCTGATCGTGTGCAAAGGCTACGACAAGGGTGAAATAGATCAGAATTTATCGGTCTCAGGTAGAGAATCTAAGGAGTCAAAAACGTCGTCCAAGGAATCGAAGGACACCATAACGGTCGAGGATGCCAAATCTTTGTCGCAAAGTGTTTCTAGTCTTGACCGAGACGACGAAGAAGCAGCAACTTTACGGCAAGAGCAAGAGATGAAAGCAGAACTCGTCGCTTGGGAGCAAGAAGAGAGAGAACGAGCTTTACTCGAACAGAAGGAAAAGACAACTCCAGAGAAGGTTTGTTTTTTTCCCTTGTACATATGCATAATCATAAATAGTCCTCTTTCATGGTATTCAAAATGATTATCCATTTTAGGTTCTAGATTTCGTCAGAGCAGCAGAGTCTTTGGTAAATAAGCCTAGTAGTCCAGTCGACTCAACAACTCCTATTCCCCCCAAATCTCCCGGTGGTACGAAGGACTTGAAAACGACGACTATCGTAATGAGCAAACACACCTTAACTCCCCAAACTCCTCCGGTAAGTTTTTATATCAAACGATCCTATATAAGCTTTCATAGTTATAGTTTAATAACACAAAGCATGATCATTCATCTCCACGCATGACGCATGCCATATCCAATACTATTTAACTGACAACGATAATCTGATGGTTATTGGTATATTATTATTATACTCGTTAACTCGAAATGAATAGTTTAGTAGAAGCTTATTTACTTTAATATTTCAATAATATTAATTAATCCAAGTAGAATTGAAGCTTCGTTACCTAATTGTATTATCTGAAAATGTAATTTGCCCTGTCTCAATGACTTTATCGATCTATTTCTAGAATTTAAGTTACTCAAATCATCTGTCGTATTTTCAAGTTTTGTTATGGATTTTATATGTATATAGTGAAACCTGCTAAGTTAGCTACCTATACAAATAAGCAAGGTTTAAGCAAATATACAAGTGTGGACATAAACAGGTTTCTCTGTACAAGCATGATCGATCTATGTTTGAAACTGCGTTTTTATTTATTGTATTATTTCAAGAATCCATTTGCTACATTAGTCTCTGCGTAGAGTTCGTTGGCAGTACCTTCGTTTACATTTTTAATCTAGGGAAAATTGCCACTTATATATATTTTAAAATCATATTTTTAAGTTGTTTGTTTTCTCAAAACTGAATATTAATTGAACATATACACATATTATCTAATGTAGCGAATGGTTGAGCAAGTGTAACGCGTGAAAAACAGATTGGACAGTGTAGGTGTACACATGTATTATAAAACCACCACGCAAATGAATGGAAGATTATAGAAGCAAATGTTTAAACTTACAAGCCCCTACTCTGATGCCTTCACACACCATCTATCTTCTGCTACCGTGTATTCTCATGTTCTTTATTTTAGATTTGTCTCAATGTGATAAACAATACGTACGCATGAAAACGTCAGTGTTTATCTCTGTAGTGGACGCATGCGACGAGAACAAAGAACAATTGTTTTCCTTTTATTTCTGTTGAACGGCTAATGAAAGCGAACGAAACGAGCCATTTATAACGTGTTTTACAGACGATGGAAGGCGATAACGCTACTTTGGCTGCTCTCTAACACAAGTGAGCTGCTCGAAATCACCTACTGCGTGACGAACTTCGTGTACGATAAAACTAAAACTATAACAAATATTTTAACAAAAATATAATGAACTGTGGACGCACTGCGACAATTGCGAGACCCAAGACTTGTGTATCGTTTTCATCGTCGTTACTCTCCACTTTGTTAATTGCAACATACTGCCATTTACAATCGTTAATTTTAACGCTAAAAATCCGGCGGCGGATCTCCTTTGGCTTTTCATTATGACTGAAAAAGGCTCGTGGGATCCGGCACGCACTTCTATCACCAGTGGTGTGATCATATTTTTCTTAAAAAAGGAACAAAGTTACTCCAGAGAAATCTGTAAAAATGTTGATCCCTCGATCGATGTATAGTGTTTCTGCAAAAAATAAAAATATTTTTCCCGATGTCAAAATAAAAACGAAGCAAGATTTTTCAAATTTCACTGGTAGAAAGTAACTGTGTTCCTTTTCCTTTGTAGGCTTGTGAAGACCTAATCGTATCGAAGGAAACAAGAGTGAAACATGGGATAAGCAAAAAGAAATTTGGAAAAAAAAAAAAGAAGAATTATTCTGTGATAGGCATAGTGTTTTTTAAAACTAGGCTAGAAGTCGTTGAAAGATCCGTTTGTTATGTCAGTTGTTATTTTATGAATGCAAGACGAATTAATTGAAAAAATCATGCAAGACAACGGGTCAGCGAATTTACACCGTTGCCTTATTATCGTCAAATACAGTTTTAAAAAAATTACCTTTTTTACGCTCGAATCTATATCTCTAAATTTTACATGTGTATTTTCTTCTGCCTTTAAAAAAAAACCAATTAATTAAAAAAAAAACTTGCTTAATGTTCAATTGATATTAAGAGACTTTTTATAGTCATCTGTTTTGATCTATACTCATATATATTACACCGGGTGAGAAATTTTAAGAAATGTGTATAACTATAAATTATAAGAAATTATTTCCATTGCGTCCAAACACACGTGTAAAAGCTATATACATTGGATAAGTTTCGCGTGACAATACATAATCGTATGAATGGGCGTAATGAGGTGTCAGCACACAATTCGCTGATTACTCGTGTAGCGTCGAAAATAACAAGCATGTAATGCTTTTTATCAAATCGTGCCGACTACTGGCGAGGCCGAAAAAGTCATTAAAAAACAACAATTTCTCGATCTCACCCCGCTGATCGCGTTATAGTTATAGGTATATACGTACATAACAACAATCTCTCTGTATTTTTCGACGGCGTTAATTTTACCTTTTTAATGTGTGCAAACGTTTCATTTGCGCGTGAAACATAGATTGCGAGAGCTAAAGCGCATAAAATAAAAAATGAATTATTATTATAATGTAAATGACCGAGTGATTAAACAAAATAAACAAAAAAGATGGCGTCGAGCGTTGCTTTTAAAAAAAGCAAGCTTAAAGCTTTCGCTCTGGAAAAAATGTTATGTTCATTTTCACTGTTGAAAACTGCAAGGACTCTAATGACGTTCTTTGTTGATACTCATATCATTGATCGATGAGAATGATTTTAAAAATTTTAAAAAATAACTAAAAAATCGATGTATAATGTATATTAATACGTATAAATTTTCTATAAATGTTATATATATGCGTATATACGTGTTAACATCAACTCTAACGGACCAGATGTTTATATATTATTACAAACAATACAGATTATCAAGATAACGAAAAAGAGCGTATATATCAATAGATGAACTTCTTTCGTTATCCAATCTTGATAATTTGAAAAAACGCAATATCTTAATATACAAATTCAGTTGACGACTATTCCAAGCAAGATTTTGCATATCATCGTTTCTATCATTGCTTAGAGTATATATGAATGATTTTCCCATAGAACAAATCTTAAAAGAGTAAAAGTATTATTGTGACGCAATCACACGATCAAAAAAAGAAATAAAGGAAAGAAAAAGAAAAAAAGAATTGACAGAGTTGTTTATGATAATTATATACGTGTATTTTTTTACTTTTCACTCTCGTTTATTGTCAGCGTGCGCGCGCCTTGAGTGTATACGCATTGCAAAGGGAAAAATTGCAGCAAAAAAACAGAACAATATGCATATATATAATATGAATACATATTTCTATAAGGGTTCCTTGTGATCGACTTTTCATTCGACGAGTTTGAGTATAATATACAAGTGCGACAAACGCTTAAAACAGAGTGACAAATGAAAGAACTCGTATCGTAATCTTACACAGTGGCATTTAAAACATGTAGAGGGTAAAAAAAAACAATGTGAAGCAAAGAAACTTCGGTAACGCAAGCAGTCCTATAAGCGTGTTTTCCATTTTTGGGCAATAAGAAAACAAGCATTGTGTAGCAGACACCGAAAAAAGCTAAAAACAGTTATATATTAATAAGATTATTATTGAACGAAGATGCAAATTAAATCATAAAGTACTTCGTGTTGGCAACTCTCCTGTAGATTTTGTATGGATTGTAGCGTTGACAAATAAAAAACAAATCTGATTTTCAAATAATATACTGCCAAACGTCAGTTGTGTTGCGCACCCCATATATATTGACAACTTTTTGCATTTTTCTTTTTATTATGAAGAGGAGACTTTAGTTTTCTTTTAAAGCTTTTATATATATATATAATATTTATATAATATTTATATAATATTTATATAATATTATATATATAATATTTATAATATATATATATATATATATATATATATATATATATATATATATATATATATATATATATATATATATATATATATATATATAGTATAGAAAAGTATACATTTTCATATAATTAGTCGTGCATAGAAAACGCTTGTGATAGTCAATGAGAAAAAAACAGAGTACAAAGCTCGACCTCGCTTCATCAAACCATCCACTTGGCCACATACACACGCATACACACATACAGCTGAGTTTCACGAATCATACGCAAAGAACAATCTCACACAAGAAAATATGAATGATGTTCACCTGTGTTGCCCACCCACCTGCGTGTGTGTCAAATGTCCATCAGCCATCAAACACGACATCGGCACTGGGCGCGAAAGAAGACATCTCGGGTACATCGGTCGACAGCCCGTCACCACTACCACAGTCCTCGATGATCTTCACCTATCCGTGCATGCCGCGGAAGACAATAAGCAGCAACCAGCAGCAGTACCCCGAGACGTACTCGATGGCCTCGCAGACGCTGCCGGCGGCATCGCAGAAAAAGAAACGCAGTATAACGTTCGCATCGCTGCCGTCACCCTATCATCAGCGGCACAAATCCGTGAGCACCGGTGACGTGTCGGTAGCTCAGCAGCCGCCGATATTCTCGTCACGCACTTCGGGAAATAGTTTTTTCGGCGCGCACTCGCAGCCTCAAGGCTACCGGGTGTCGCCGACTCCCACCTCGACCTCGTCGTCGCCGCACTTCAAGCTACCCCCAACGCCACTGACCAGCCCCGACTCCATGACTATCGTGGGCGAAGTGCACGGGCCAGGCGAGGGTCTGCCCGATAATGCCGTCGCCCCAACTGTATACCGACAGTTAGCACGCACTGTCGAGCGCGAGGTGGGTTGTCTGCATGCCAGCGGTGAATCGTGCGCCGGCCCATCCACCGATCCTCACTTGTCTTTATTGCCCACGCACTCTGCTGCCTGGACAAGGCTTCACTAGTTTTCCGTGGATCGGCCGGTACATCTACGTGATCTTGAGTCTTGGCACTTTGACTATCGTAGATTATTGCAAACTAACACGCATTTTTGATTTGGTAGTTATTTCATATCCTTCTTCCTTTCTTTCTTATGATTTTTGACTTTTCTTTATTTTCGCACTGTAATCCATGCAGTATTTATGATCGATTGCACTTGTTATTGTTACTATTTTGCCACTCTCTTTGCCGAATTGAAACTGTGTGTTTTGATGGTTTATTTTGTGAATAGCCACCGTCAACGCCGTCGCCAACGCCTGTACCGCAGAAAATGTCCGTTAGCGACAGGAAGCGGCTGTTTGAGAATGCCATGGAAGAACACCTGAAGCCATCACCGAAACCAGGTAAATTAACGCGAGATCGTTGTTGTGCTGAGAGCTTGGCAAGTTTTATAATTAACGTTTGATTTGCATAGAAAAAGTCTTCAGTTTCTTAAGTCAAGACGAGATTGAAAAGCTAAAGCTGGAAGAAGAGAAGAAGATCAGCATGATGAAAGATGACCTGAAATCCTGGGGACAGAGCGATGATAACGAGGGATTAGATGACGATGATCCTGTTGAAGATCAAGACAGCAGAAGACCAAAGTAAGTTGCGCTCTATTTTTCTGACTTTGTTTGTTTAGATTTGACTTTGATACGAACACTCGTGGCTTTCTAGTAGTCGACTGAGTTCGCGAACTGGAATACCCGTCCTCCAAAATGTACCAAGCGTAGTGAGAACAGCGAAAGCTGAGAAGCGGCTGAAAGAGCGCATGATCCAAGAGGTGACTTATTCAACTGCAGCGCAAGTGCCTTAAGTATGGTTTGGTCATTAATTGTTTGTTTGCGCTATTGCAGGGTTTGCTTTCCGACGAAGATGAGGAAAGTCACTTGACACCTGCCGAACAAAGAGCATTAAGGGCAGAGAAAAGGGCAGCCTGGAGACAAGCTCGACTTAAATCCTTAGAACAAGTACGCCATTGTTTGCCGGTCGAATGTCCATCTAAAGCAAGGGCGCGTAATTGCACAATTATGTTTTATTTCAGGATGCCCTGCAAGCGCAACTGGTGATAAAGAAGATGAGCGAAATGATGGACACGTCGATCAAACCTGATGCTCCTTCAGCGCCTTCCCCAAAGGACAGCGTAGACAGTAACGAGCTTGCGCCAGAAATGGAAAAAATAACAGAGGTAAATTATACATACTAAATACTTAATCCCAAACAGTGACATGTTCTCCTCTTATAATTAACAAGCAAACGATCGTCAAGTTGACGTTAACTTTATCATAACGCCGGTACTAAACCAATGTCGGTACTGTGTCTCGTCTAACTTGAAATTAACGAATGGAAACCAATGCAACACAGTCGTCACTTTGTCTATAGTGTATAAAATGTAGACCAATCAAGCAATACTAAAATGAAATAACTAAATTGTGATGCGGTGTTCGTTCAGTTCGGCATGCTTCGGCCGTCAAGCGCGGATTTTCCAAAGCTTGCCGTGCGCAGCAAACTGGGCCCAGCGAAAGCTGTGCGCGAGTCTGAAAAAGTCGTCGACGAGAAAGTGACACAGCGCACCGAGGAATACATTGACGAGGCGACCGGCGAACGACGCATTCGTACTGTCGAATACGTCGAGAAGCTGATCGAACGCGAGGTGATGATAACTCAACTGTGACCTGTCAATCACCATCGCACCTTGTATAATGCACCTTCATCGGCTAATCCACATATTATCCGATTTATGATTTTTGTCTGATAATTTGTGGAATTTGCTAGTGAATTGTGTACGAGATATAATTTGTTTACTTCAAATATCCACTTGTATTTTACCGGGGTTTATGCGTCACCTGCATCATTACGTAAAAAACTGAACAAGCTTCGTTTTTTTTCTTCATTCGCACATAATTATCTGCACCTTTATATCTGCACATTTTTAACTGCATCCGTATAGCCTCAGTGCGACGAAAAATTGTCTGTAAATATTTGCTTCAACGTATGATCACGTGTTTTCAAATTGTTTGCTCGAGAAATCACGCGCTCACGCAATACAATGCCCGTCATCGTTTTATTGGCAGAAAAATATGGTTATTAAGATAGATCACTCTCGGCATGAGTAACATGTGTCAATTAAACAATACTAACGCTACTTAACATCAATGAGTCGTATGGTGTTTTTGGGTGCTGATAACTATGATAAAATTCTCTGTTTCAAGCTTGCAAAATTCTCACCTACTGTGCAAGCATCACTAATACCGGAATGTCTTACAAATACTGATAACTTCTTTTATTACTCTTAAATATCATCAATGGTATACACGTTGACAATACTTTTTCAGTGTTCTTCAATGTTGCCTCGTAGCTTTTACAGTCTCTTTTGTTTTATCACTGGTATTTCCTATCACCCTGTTGTTTACATTATAATGTAGTATTAATTGATTATTTGTGCAGTTATTTATTTTATTTTTCAAAGATGAACGTAAAAGTTTGAGTGATTGTACATTGCGAGTCCAAACTGTCATTCATCTTCAGAAATTTCGTTTAAACAGTTTTGTACCAATTTGAAGAAGTATTTTAAAGCACATCAACATTTTTGAAATTGATAGTGCCTTTTGTGCAAAGTAGATATTCTTTTATAACAAATTTTCCGTGCAATTTTGAACTAACCTCTAACGTTGAACGCAGGTTGAGATGCTGCGCGAAAAAATCATATCCCTAGAGCTGAGCAACCCGGAGGAAGAGATGATGGGTAGCATAACTGGTACCGCACTAAGCGATAGCGAAAGCGAGGAACAATTGAGTTCAGCCGTCGACACACCAACCGTGGAAAAAAGCGAAAGTGGCTTTGATGGTGTTAGCAGTCCACAAGAATCGACGACAGCCGAAGATGGTGTCACCGAAAACAATGACGACGATACGGTTAACAATGGCTCGTCGACAGCATCAAGTGGCAGCAATAATAAAAAGAAAAAACGAAAACGCTCGAAAAAAGGCAGATATTGAATGCCCGAGAGTATTCTATTGTATTTTTTTTCGTTATCGAGCTCATCTCCGAAGAGCAAATGGTTTATACATACGTCCGATTTATCTAGATAAGTTGTGTGTGAGAGACGAGAAAATGAAAATGTATAAAATAAATAGTATGTGCGAATGCGAAAGAGATTCACCCATCTTTTTTTAAACGAGAATGCACACTTTCTATCCTGCCATTAAGTATTTACGATTTTAGCGCGTATATATGTAACGTAGTCTTTTAACAAAAGAAACAAACATACACGGACGAATATATATATCAGTAATCAAAACGAAAGTATTTTTTACCCGACCGATCTAAGTATACGCCTATATATGTGATAAGTGCGAATTGGATGTAAACATTCCTTCTGTCCTCAGTGTCGCGCCCGCCTCAGGCATATATTATCCCATAATCTTGACTCAATTATTATTTTTTTCATACACACGCGTAGCAAAGAGTTTTTTTTATAAAAAAAAAATCAAGGTATACAACGTCGATCAATAGTTACACATATACATAATAAAGAAAAGTTACGTTGCTTACAATTGTTAGCTTGAGGGATTAGGGTGAGATAACTCGCTTCGATAAGCTTTTCTATAAGCTTGTTTTATAAATATTATATTGTATCCTCGCGTTGCTATCCTTTTTTTAATTATTGCTAGATGTTTCTTGTTTTGTCAAGATGTTTTTATGTAAAAAGAAAACTCATAGAGAAGCTGCAGAAGAATTTTATTATTCAAGATAAAACTTTCTGGTACTACTTATTTGCAGTCATTTTTAATATTGTAAATGGCGTTAGGTAGACTATTAACAAACTTATGGTGTTACGTTATGTGTTTTATTTCACATAATTGGCTATATAGAGCGGAAGGAAATGTAAATTATATTTTATAGTTGGGTAGTTAGCATACATATTGAAAGTTTCTAATGATTGTAAGTCTTTTTTTTGTACGCGCAGATTGACAGATAATTTTTTTAGAATATTTTATTTATTCTTCATCGTTCAAACATCATTATTAGAACGTACGACTTTCTTTAATCACACTTTTTATGTTAGATAATTATATCAATGTGCATTACGTTCGATATTTATGATAATCTTACCTTATGGTACGCGTAATGTGGGACCAACAGCTTGAAAATATAAAGTGCTAAATTTCATTCCTGCTCATACAAGTTTTTTTTATAAATGCATTTTATTATTATTATTATTATTATTATTATTATTATTATTATTATTATTATTATTATTATTATTATTATTATTATTATTATTATTATTATTATTATTAGTAATTTGCTTAATTCAAAGCATTAATGTCACGAAAGCTTATGTCAAGTGCACGCTCGCAATGATCCTTCAAGTATTCATTATTCATGAAAATAAATTAACAATTAAATCAGGTAAGATAATCTTTATTTGAAAAATTACTTATGTGTTATTTTGATAATGTTACTAATCATGAGAAAAATGCATATTATCATCCAGCCTGTCGCGAGAATCTCAATGAAGGACTTATGACAGAGCTTGTATTTTGATTAAGATATAGATTTTACTTGTCAATAATTGATTTTAAGATATAATGTTAATCTAGAACGCGAGAATCATTTGTATCTGCTCTAGTAATATAATTTTTTATGAAAAGTTTTGAAATATAAAGCTTTATGATATAATAATATCTATAGTTTATTTTCAATTCGATGAATACGGCAGTCTTGATATATGACTGATATGTAAGCGGCGATGTCAGAATTTGTTGTTGAATTAGAAGTGTTTTATTATTTAGAACAGAAGCATATATTTATTAAAAAACAGCTGTATTCTTTACTAAGCAATATTTATACGTTTTGTAATCCTACACATGTGTATTTGTAAGGAAAATTTATGCAGATAAACGTACATTTATTTTAAAAGAGACTTATTATTTCGATCGTAATGTTTTTACATATTTCTTTCATTTTATTATAAATATTATATATTATAGATCTTCGTTTTCTTTAGTTATGGCATAGCTATTATTTGAACAAAATAGATAGTAAAACATTAATTGTATTTATTTTTTTGGGGCGATTATTCCTTCAAGTTGTGTCTGAAAAAAGTAGAATTATTAAATATATATAAACAGAAAACAAAATCCTCTAAATTATGAAAATGATCAATTATAATTGCAATATTACCTTCAACTGTTGGTTTGTTTTCTTCAGAAATTGAATTTCCTCCATATGCTTTTTCTCTTCAGCTTCACGCAGTTCAGCGGATCTTCGTTCAGCTTGATCAAATCGTTGTCGCAACTCTACAACAGTTTTTTCAAGTTCGGCTTTTTCAACTCGAAGATTTTCAGCTGAGACTATCAAGTCTTCTTTACCTTGTTCAGCCTATAATGAAGAAAAATGCATCCATTGATACTACTTGTATGTACACGTAACATTAAATACACTACTTGTAAAGCTTTTCTCATTCCAAAAGCAATGCTGCTTTGGTAAAGAGTTTGATAAGCAGCCATCGTCATTTGAATCTCGTCTCTGATACGAAGTAAAAGCTGCCCGCGTTCAGCACAATTGATTGTCACTTGCCTAATAATTTCATCTAATAATCCATATTATTAATAAATGTGATTCAACTTTCATATAATATTAAAATCTTTATATTTTACCAAAACATTGAGTATAAAGTTCTCGTCTTATAGGACAAATACCAGTTTCTCTGGCTTGTCGTTGTTGTAATTTCATATCTAATTGTTCTTGCAGGTTGATTACATCCAAGCGTGTTGCTGGTGTACTGGATATCTAGTACACAATGATAAAATTAACTACAATAAAATAAATTATTGAATTTAATTAACTCAATGAATCCAAACCTGCTGTTTCCAAATTTGACCATCTTCTTCCCACTCTTTCGGAGGAAGAATTCCATTTAATACCTCTATAGTTTCCTTTCGAGTTTCAGCAGCTGAAGTCATTTGTACTTTACATAATGCACTGCCCATTTTACTTGTTGATGGTTCTCTCTAAATTGAGAAATAGTTGTTAAATTATTGATTGATAAAAATAATTATAATTTGAATAAAAACACCGATATTTACTTTCTCTGGTCGAGTTTTAACCAAAATTGGATTGTCATATTTTACTAAAGTATCTATTGTTGGAATCATTCTTTCAGGCATTGCCATCGCCATGTTAACAAGAAACTATAAGTGAATAATTTATCACAGAATAAATGACAATGGCACTTTGATATAAAAAAAATTGTTATCAAAATGGAAGATCAGATACTAATTATTTGCTGTGTTTTCAATTAATAGCAAACTTGCGTTGCTAAGGGAATATTGATATAATATTCTATACTTATCTTATATTTATTTGAGCATTTGAGATGCTTCAAAAAATCTATTCTTTATTTTTGATATGAGACTATATTTACAATAATTTGTCCATAATAAAAAGTCCCAGTCAATAATTTATCCATAAAAAATTGTTTATTGGCAAAGCATTTATTATTTACACTATAAAAAGTGATCGTAAATAATTATAAAATTATTAATAAAAACAGAACATTTTATGAAATATTTCTCAACAATTCACATATTATCTCAACATATCTTACAGTATTATCACAAAGTTACTAAGTTATTACAAATAGTTATAAAATGGTAGTTGTAAAGTTATAAGTAAAATTGCGTCAAAATTGACTGTCAGTACTTTCAATGTCCTTTTTCGAAATCAGCAAATCAAGATAATTATAGAAAATTTATTTGACACAAATAAAAAATATTATGCTTAAGTTTTTTACAGCTCGGTATGCTTTTGCAATATTTTTGCTTCGAGGTCTTTATGTAACTTATCAACATCAAGAGCATGTTTTTTAATGTATGTTTCATGAGTAGTATTTGGCTTGTATTCTTTTCCTCTCCTAGCAGCTTCCAAAGCTGCTTCTGTGTGTAAGTGACGTAATTTCAATAATCGTTTTTCATAATGTAAAAGCTCTTCCTGCAATAATGAATATATTATAAAATATGCACTCAGTATATAAAAACTTATTTTATACTACTATATCAAATTTTCTTACTCTTAATGATAGTAGTTCATTAGTTGAAAATTTAGCTTCAAGTGCCATATTCCATAATTCTTGAACTTTAGGATCAATGAACTCTTTACTTTTTGGCCCCTTAGCTGCAATGTTTTCTAGATGATCGTAACCAGTTCTAACTTCTAAATGTTTCTCCCTTAAATACGAAAATACAATCAAATAATTATATTAAAAAGTATATGATATGTGTAACACATAAAATTGGTGACTCACTTTAGTAAGTTGGCTTTTGCTAAATACTTATCATTCTTTCTTGAAACGTCATTGCTTTCTTCTTGAGATTCTAGCTCATTCCAACTTTCATGATCTTCATGGACACTATCTATTTTTTGATAAAAGGTAAATTGTTAGTATTTGAAAAATCAGAGCTTAAATAACTCCATAGATTTGAAAATCAACTCACTCTCATGTTTACTTTGGTCTCCGGCTTCTACTTCAGATAATAGACTTAAATACTCATTCACTTTCTCTTGATGATGAGTGAATTCTTCTTTCAAAGCTTCTAGTTCTTCGTCTAAATTGTTTAATCATTGACAAATTAAATTTATAATCTATAAAGTAAAATTCTAAAATTATATTCAAATGAGGATACATACGATTAAAACCTGCTCTCTCAGCCTTGGCCCACAAGTGATTCAATCTTTTGTCTTTGAAAACATCTTGAATGACATAATTCCCATAGTCTTGCTTCTTTAATTTCGGTTTAATATATGTATCATGATCAACTTTTTCAAAATGTTCCAATAAATCATATCTACTCATAATACCTGAACAACAGAAAAAATGTTTATTTCATAAATTTAATAATCAATAGTTTAAAATATATATTTGTATACCAATGAGCTTTTTGCGCATCCTAGCTTCCTCCAAACCTATTTCATCTTTGCCATCAGACTTGGCATGCTTAAATGCGATCTCCTCTTTATCGTGAATCTTCAGATCACTAAAAAGGGACTGCAACTTAGGATCGGTCAACCTCTGTGCAAGAAGTTATTAAATTATTAATTACAGCAATAAAAAAACTGTTAATGTTTATACACGACAACGTACATGTTTTGCTTTCGTCCACAACAAATTCAATTTGTGCATACGAAAAGGCTTATCGAGCTCCCGTAATTCTTTGATGTTAGTTGGGAGCGAGAATTCAGTTTTCGGCTTTTGTTTTTGCTTAGGTTTATTAGCTTGCTCAGAATATTTGTTGTATCCTTCGACGCAGTGAATTAAAAGTATTATTAAAACGACACTTATCAGACTAATTTTAATAGCAGAACAATAATTTATCTTTTTATATAAGAAAGACATTACTGATATTATTCACGATAACTTTCTTAAATACACTATCAGTCAGTATCAGATATTGTGCACTCGTGCTCTTGCGCTTCTTCTAGAATCTAGAATCCAGACAGAATTATGCATTGCAGACGTGATTGTGCCTTGTTGTCAGATTGATCGGTAGAGAAGAGACCTACTATACAAACGTTCAGTTAAAATGCGCGGGACTTCAGAAATGCTTGACTTCGATCGTTTACATTTCATGAAATACTATTGAATTAACACATAAATGAACAAATAATAGCAATATTAAATAGTTGTATAATTCCTTCGACATTCTTTTTTATTAAGTTGATAATAATGATCGAGAATTGGTATTATAATATGACTTATGTTTTTCAACTATTTTTATTATTGACAATAAGAGACTTTTTACATAAGAGCCATTGCACATCGCGAACATTGGATGTTGGAGTGTTGGACGAATACTGAGATAAAAAAAATTGATTGTTATTGTCATTATCTTTTACCAAAGATATGTGTATGGTTTGAAAAGACTGTATATGCAATATTTATTTTTATTTTACGAATTAATGTTAAACAGTTAATTCACTGTATTACAAAAATAAAAAGCAAAAATCTTTTTAAACGTTTGTAAAATTGAAAAAAAAGACTATTCCCGTGAAATTTGTTTTGTCATTCTTTACATTCGGTAACATGTGCATTTTTGATGAAGACCATTTCTTTCAGAACAACTCTCCTTTACATAAAAACAGAATCAATTTCTGAATCAAATGTCGAATTTAATGAAATTTTATCAAAAAGAAATTGAAAAAAGCATTCGTACATTCAAAAAATACTTGTATATTACTCATTGAAAATTTCCAAAGTGTGTCCAAAACATTCATTGCACATATCAATCAGATAATAAGTCTTTATATCAAGTCTTTGTGTTGTTTAAAATATAGTAATTCCGACTTGATACATTTGAACCTTCAAAATCTGTCAATTTCATTCTTTTAACTTATACCAAAGTACATATATATACATAGGTATATAAAATAATAAACAGACAAAAATAGTGAATTCGGTGGAATATTTACAAAAGTTTAAATATTAAAAATGATGGTTATGGTTTTAGAGGATTTCGGTACTATTGTTCTCGATTTGGGAGTGTAGTATCAAAAATGATTACGCTTTTTTGTACGCCGTCGTCTTTATAATTTTTTACAATATCCGTAAGAAATTAATGCACTTCAAAACTTCTAACAGTTACCAAATTGCAATTTGGACTTGTTCTATTTCTTGCAGTGTTGAAGCTTTTTTCAATTAAATGTATTTTTATATCAATAGTAATTGCGTTTCTATTTTATTTCGCACGTAGTCTTCCGTTTGGATATAGGCCGCTTTATAGTAATCAACAAGCATTATTATATTCGTTGTAGCCGTTGTAGTTAAAAAAACTACACGAAAGTGAAACAAGCTATGATCATCAAAGGATCTGCGCCCACACGACACGTTAGTATTAGCAATAATTATTTATTTAGAAAACGTAGACTGCAGCGCAGTCAAATAAAAGCAAGTTTTATTGCCAAATACATTTGAAATCGTAAGCTACAACATTTGCATTGCATATTGTATAATTTATTACGGCCCGATATTAATGGCAACAATTACAAAACATTAATTATCATAAAGAGAGATCATCAGAGAGGCAATGTCTTACCTTTTTATTTTCTCTCTCTTTTCTACGTACGATAAGTACGAGAAATTGATGATTACACGATCAATGAGCGACATCTCAATTTGAAACAAATCAGGAACTACGCATGGTAGTAGGTTATGTTATCGTCCCACGGAGGATCATCAACAAATCGAGTAATTAATTTGTTTGTAGCGTGATTCCATTTCTTTATTATAAAAACTTAGAAAGTCATCCGAATGACTATTGACACGTAGAATCTAATATTTATGGTTTTCACTTATACTTTGAAAGATTTTAGACTAGTAAAATGGATATATTGAAAGGTTACGGTAGTGATGACAACAGTGATAGTGGAGTCAACAATGATGATACTTCCAATGACGCACCTGCTCCAATTCCAATACAGTTGCCATCTACTTTGTCTATGCAAATATGTGCAGCTCCAGAAGTTGTACCATCTGTAAGTTTTCAAATAAAATTTTTTTTTTTTTATGAATGAGACAATTTCATTTAATACAACAGATTTTTTGGAAATAGATAAATATCTATTGATCTTTTTGTACTAATTTTAGGGAGCAGAATTATGCATACAACACATAGATTCTACCACAAAAGAATTATCATTCAACCCAAAGTTCGAGGAACTTTTTGCTCCTGAAGTTGGTCCTGAAAATCCATTCAAGACCCAGCAAGAAAGAGCTCCCAAAAACATGTTATCCGGCTATGTTGAAAAGGCTCATATTAGCGAGTTCCAGTTTGAAAACCAAAGAAGAACATTTACAAGTTTTGGTACAAGATATTTTCTTTTTTATTGCACCTAAATATATTGTTCATTAGTACAACTAATGAATTTTATCATTTGCAGGTTACGCATTAGATCCCACAGTAGATGGAAGTGCAGAAGAAGGAAAATTATTAGTTGGAGCTGTTGAAACTGCTGAAGAAAAGGGTGCTAAGACCGTCTTTGAACACACTCCTGTTCGACCTTTAGATAAAAGAAAAAGAAAGAAAAATGACAATCCTGAAGATATAACAGGATTTTTAGGTCCTTGGGGTGGCTTTATTGATGAAAAACGTATCATTAAACCAACTGAAGAGGAGGCAGCAGAATTGGAAGAAATTTTGGCCAAGAGAAATAAGAGAGGAAAGCAAATAGATGATAAACCAATTGAAGAGAAGACAGTCTTGCATAGTAAGACTATTTCATAATTAATTCTTTATTTAGCCAAAATTACAATTATGCTTTACCAAAGCAATTTTTTTTATAGTTAAAGACAGTGTTGATTACCAAGGAAGGTCATTCTTACATGCACCACAAGATGTTGGTGTTAATTTGAGATCTGATACTCCTCCCGACAGATGTTTCCTTCCAAAAGCACATATACATACATGGGAGGGTCATACAAAAGGAATTTCACAAATCAGATGGTTTCCAGTTACTGCTCATCTTTTGTTGTCGTGTAGTATGGATCATAGAGTAAAGGTATTATTGTTTATTTTGAATAATAAATACAATCATGACTTCTTAATTCTTGCTGTGCTAATAGTTTGTATTTTTACATAGCTTTGGGAAGTTTACAAGGACAGGAGGTGTGTTAGGACATATTATGGCCATCGACAAGCTGTGCGAGATATCAGTTTCGATAATGACGGGAAAAGATTTCTATCTGCTGCTTATGACCGATATGTCAAATTATGGGATACTGAAACTGGACAATGTCTGAGTCGATTTACGAGTCGCAAAGTACCCTATTGTGCTAAATTCAACCCAGATCCAGACAAGCAACATCTCTTTGTCGCTGGTACAAGTGATAAAAAAATTATTTGTGTAAGTATTTAATTGTATTTTTTTCCAATATTCAAAATAGCTTATTAAAAAATTGTGATTTTAGTGGGATATCAGGAGTGGAGAAATTATACAAGAGTATGATAGACATTTAGGTGCTGTCAATACAATCACTTTTGTTGACGAAAATCGAAGATTTGTCACAACATCTGATGACAAAAGTTTACGAGTTTGGGAATGGTAACATTACACTGTTATTTATTAAATTATATCATTGTATCCTAGTATTATTGTATAATATATATAATCCGATACATTTATTACATAGGGACATACCTGTTGACATGAAATACATAGCTGATCCAACAATGCACTCGATGCCTGCTGTAACTCTCTCACCCAATCAAAAGTGGCTTGCTTGTCAAAGTATGGATAACAAAGTTGTTATATTCTCAGCATTGAATAGGTTTAAAATGAACAGAAAGAAGACATTCAGTGGACATTTGGTTGCTGGGTATGCATGTGGTTTGGACTTTTCACCTGACATGAGGTATGTTGAAATCCCTTTCTTTCAAATTTGTTTCTTTTAAATATATATCAGACTTAGTAAGAATATAATCAAATTATGATAATTGACAGTTACTTGGTCTCTGGTGACGCAGATGGTAAATGTTTTATTTGGGATTGGAAAACGACAAAGCTTTTCAAAAAATGGAAAGCACATGATGGCGTTTGCATTAGCGCGTTATGGCATCCACACGAACCATCTAGATTGGCTACTGCTGGGTGGGATGGCAAAATTAAATATTTTGATTAAGGTACTGTGTATATAGCAATAATAAAAGTATTTTTATTTATGTAAAAAAATTTGTCTCAAGTGTTTTTACCAGCCCATTCAACTGATACTTATCTTATGATACTGTAAAAAATACAAAAATTGTTGTTAAAAAGTATATAGTTATATTTTTTCGTGTAATCATTTGAGCAATAGATTTAGAAAAAATAAAATATCATTTTTTCTTTTCCATCAACAAGAGTTTTATTTACAAAGATTTTCAGAGTTACAATTAATCTTGAATACATTTTCTTTAAAGATTTTAAAACAATTCAAATAATACTTTAGTTATTTTTATAGTATTTTTTAAATACTACTGTTCAACAAACAGTCAATCTCTCAAATATACATTGTAGACATACGATTAACCATTCACAATCACTTTTAAAATTAAATTATATCACTTAACAATTATTACAAAATAATTTAAAATTTATTTAAATGACAATTATTAAACATATTTAACAAATATTAAATGACAATTTAATATTTAACTTAATCAAATATCATGTGATCTGGAAAGATTTAATCTCTAAGTATAGTTTCCATAGTCTCGATTTTAAATTCTATTGAAATTTTTATGGAATTTATCATTTTGAATGAAAAATAAACTTAACAACAATTACGTAATAAATTAATAAATTTATATAAACTAATCTATCCTTATGCGAAGAAAACTTTGTACTCATTCTTTTCTCATAATGTTAAACGTCCATTACGATTGCGGAATTCGATTTCGCAGATACGCTAAAATTTCTTCAGTCCCTTTCATTAAAGTCGCTTGTCTCGGCTGCTTAAAACAGTTGCCATTTAGCGACAGCATTCTGAAAAAATTGATTTTTTAAGTTAACGTTCATATCAACTTTTCAGCAATAATTAAAGATGAAAATGAAAAAAAGACTGCAAAATCACGATGAGCGGTTGGGCTGCTAAAGATAGATGATTATTTGTTCGGCTAACGCTAGAAGCATAAATGACTGCGAATATTAAAATGGCCTCAAACATTTTTTAATTACATCGATACATGTCGATGGATTATTTCAAGCGCACACTCTTCTTACCTCTATTTTTAAAATGTTTGCTCTTGTGACATAGGTTTGGGTTTTTGATAATGTCAGTAAATGCAGAAGCAAATGAGTTCTTTTTTAATGCGCTTATATGTGATTTTAGACTCGAGATGAAACTATGAGAAAAATAAGTTATTGCTTGAAAGAAACATCTGCAATAAAATCAAGATGAATGTTATGCTAATAAAATACTTACAGTTCAGAAAAATAAATGCAATGATCAGATAAAAAAATAAAACCTGATTTTTATATAAATGCTCGCTATTAAAAAATGTACGTCATGGAAGTAAAAATAGATGGAATAATTCAGTAAGATTGACCTTAGAAAATTATTTATAAAACTGGATTCTTAATGATTCGGCTCAATACTACAAACGTTTTAGAAAATCATGACAAAGCACGAACCTTAAATGTTTGAGATTCCCCAATTCTGGTGGAACATATCCAATGTTATTATTGGACAGATCTAGATTCGCAAGGTACTTAAGCTTGCTAAGAGCTGGCACATTGACAGACGACATCTTATTGTCGTTAGCGATTAATATCTCCAAATTCGGCATCTCGTAGATGCACTCTGGCATTTCTTCGAACCTGCAAAGGAAAAAAGAAAAAAAAACGCATATTCGTCAAGAAGAAGCGTCGACGCATAAAGAGATGGTCTGATAGGTGTCACTCACTTGTTGAACGAGATATTGATCTCGACGAGAAACTGCAATCCAGTGAGGCTGTCGGGCAGCGAAGTCAACAGGTTTTTGCTCAAGTCCAAGTAGCGCAAATTTGTGAGACTTTCTCCGATCCACTCGGGTAACTCGCCAAGTAGATTGTACGACAGTTTCAAATCCGTGACGCTTGTCACCTTTGACAGTCCGTCCGTCAATTCTTGCAGCCGGTTTCTACTTAGGTCTACGCAGGTCACTTCAGCTTCTTTGGCATTCTCGAATATCTCGTCCGGTATTTCGGCTATATTCTGTCCGACTACACTCAACAATTTTGCGTTTCTCATGGTATACCTAATTCAACCATTAATTCTTGTCAAAGTTATCGCTTTGGTTACAATAGTTATAATACAATTCTATTGGAGTGAATGATTTCACTCGTGTAAGCGCATAAATTCGACCAACTTGTACGATCAACATTAAATTGTTAAAAAAAAATTGACGAACGAGTATCCCACACTACATGAAAAATGAAATGCAATCTCTTACTTGTCGGGAAAGTTGCTTGCGCTGCAAACGCGCAACGGTGAATTCGTTGTTTCGATATTTGTTGGGTTGATGGTTTGCCGAAGGTGCCTCATAATTCGAGGCGTGCCGCACGAGACGATATCACGACGAATGTTTCGCACTTTGTTGCCGTCGATTATGAAATTCTGGAGATTTGGCATTACACCCACGCAGCTAGGAATCCTGCGGATCATCAGAAATTAGCTGGTCATCGTCTTGTCGGGATAATCGTCGAACGGGCGGCTTGGCAAGTGCACTCACGCAGATATGTTATTGTAAGACAGATCCAACTGCTCGCAGTTGATCAACAAAATAATCTCGTCGGGAATAAGGTCGATCTCGTTGTTGCTCATGTTCAACACTTTTAACTGTCCCAAGCTCTCGAGGCAGTTGACGTCGATCTCCGTGATGCCGTTGTGCGCGAGGTGAAACTCTTGTAGCGAGGTGCAGCCGCGGACGTCCGGAAAAGCCGACAGATTGTTCATGCGGAAATCGAGCTTTTCAATTTTTCTCAGCTCTCCCAACGGATGAACGATTTCCAGACAATTGTTACTCACGTCGAGCTTCTTCAGTGCTGCAACAGTGCCATCGCAAAAGGTCGTTGGAATAGAATGAAGAAGGACAGCGTCTTCTTTTTCAAGTAGTACATACCTCTCATGCTCATGATATCCGGCGGCAGTTCTTTCAGCTTGTTGTGATTCAAATCCAGAGCGATCAATCGTACCAGATATCCGAGTCCCGAGGGTAGAGTTCGCAGCTCGTTCGACGACAAATTCTACCAGAAATACACCGATTACAGTCAACTCGGAAATTTGTTGCCAAACATTCGCCTGCCTCATCTGTTTTGGCATCGTCTCCTTACCAGATACTCCAACATCACCAAGTCCCCTATAGCGGGGCTCAGCTCTTTAATCAAGTTGCTTTTCAGATCCAAACATCGCAGCTCGTTCAAGTTGAAGAATTGACAGGGTAGGCCTCGCAACTTGTTCGACGACAGGTTGAATTTCCTTAGCTTGGAGAGGCAGCCAACTTGTTCGGGCAGGGATTCCAATAAATTGCAGTGTAACTGCAACAGCACAGAAGCGATAATTTCATTGACTTGTCTCAATTCCGAAGCGAGTTTCGATGCGCGCACGTACGTCCAGATTGATCAGATCGGCCAGTCGTCTAATATCCTCGCTGATTTTGGTCAAGCTGTTCGAGCTTAAATCCAAAGTCTTGAGCGACTCATACTCCCACCACTTGTCCTGGCTGTCTGAATTACGGAGGTCTACTTGTAGCTCTTTCAGCTCTTCGTCGGTCAATTCGTTGATGTTCCATACTCGGTCGGGCACTGTGGAAAAACGAATCATTAGCCGTATAACAGGTTGAGAAAAATGTCTGGCTCGCAATTGAAATTCGGATTTAGATTGACAGCGATCGATCGGTTAGAAAAAGCCGAGTGCAAGCGCGGACCTCGTCGTGTGTGCACGTGTTACGGCCTGCTCTCGTTTCGCTCGTCTATGGCAACCTGCTTTACACTCTTAAGTAACCCCAACGGCTTTTCCTTCTCTATATTCTTTTCCAAATGCAGACGCTCTCCTCTCATTTTGCGACGGCAATTCGTAGCAGCTTTTACTGTCTAACGCGCTTGTTCACCGAGAATCGTACTGCAGTATAATGGCGCTGCGTTACTATTTTCGAGTTGTAACATTGGTAGATGTACTGCGTTTTAAGTGAATTAGAACGGATCAGCGTTATTATATGACCCTATAAGAGAAATCTAATAACATATTTTTACAGTAGGAGGACTATAAAAAGCCTGGTGAAACCTTGGGTAGAATCTTTAATGACGAGCTAAACACAGCCGCGTGAATGTTTTGGCCAGCAGCCCAATCCTAACATTGACCTCAAAAAGATACTCGTACAGACAGGCGTCGTCGTCGAGCTTTCGACGCGTTTTTTTCTCTGTCTGTGGAAAAGTCAGTCTTGCGAATCCGTTAAAATATTCAGAGAGAGAGAGAGAGAGAGAGGATGCCAAGCGACAATGGTGTCGTGCTCGCGCCGTTTTACAGCTCTGGATGTGCACGCAGCTGTGAATACACCTTGACATTGCGCGCACGGTCTTTTACTCCGTCGGCAGATATTCGCCGCGCGGCGTGACATATTGGGAGAGCTTGACGTCGCGCTTGGCGCGAGCCACGGCAGTCGAGCACTCACCGGAGGCCAGACCCCTGGACGACAGGCAAAGTTTGCCGGACCTCCTGGCCGCGACGATTAGCTCCAAAGACAACTCCTGGTTGTCGTCGCTTCTCGAGCGCGGCCTGAACACCGACAGGCCGCTATTGATTTTCCGGCCGCGGGCGCTGCTCGTCTTCATCGCTCGTTCCGCACGCGCGCACCTTCACCGTCGCCCCATCGTTCGTTTGGCGTCCGCTGCGCACTCGCGCGCTCTTACGCTCGATGTCGTTCGGCAGAACAAAGCTCCGCAAGCTCGCCACGCGCAAGCCGCCGAGTGAGAGGAGGACGCGACGATCGACTGCTCGGGTCCGAGGTGCGCGTTGGCGCGCCGTCCGTCTCGGCGTTATGTCACGCCGGAATAACGCGCATGTGCCGCGGGTCAGGCCTCCGCGCCGCCGCTGCACGTAGGCGCGCACACTTTGCGCCTCACCGCTCGCCGCGCGAGCTATTACGTGTAATTGCAAGTACTTTGGCGACCGGCGAGGAGGGGGCCGACGTACGCAGAGAACGCCTGTCTCTCTATTTGGGTTCGTCGTGGTGCGCATTTCGACCTGCGTCCATCCCGTCGCCTTCCAAAGCGGCACGCTTTTTCCCCCATGGGATCGCCTACTTTGCCCGCTTATGGAACGCGCAGCTCTGCAGGTGTTTCGGAGCCAGACTTTTTTCTCGCTCCACGACGCACATTTTCAGCGCCGTCCATAGATTTTTCCGTTTCGTCGTTTTGGATCGAACCAAGTGATTTTCATTTAGTAAACGTCACCATTGCGATCGGGTTGATGAATCATGATGAACTATGTGTGGAACAACCGACAATGACAGCTAATCTTCGCAGCGAAGATGGCTTTTTCGAAAAAAAATTTCATTATCGATGCTCATCGGTGATTGCTGAAAATCCACACGTCCATTGCGTAATTGCGATACTGTTGATGGACGATTAATATATTGACAAAGATACACAATAGTGTTTAGCATGTTTACAGTTTTAATACGATTCACATTTTGAAGCTATTAGTGATATAATTGATATAGTTCACATTGAATATTTGACTTTTGATGCCTGCAATAATCTTATACATTCGATAATCACTTTGCGCGATACAATTCCAACTGAATTTTAGCTATCTGACAACCGACAAGTTCAAGCATTGCAAATGATTATCATATACAAAGTTTGTGGATAGCCTTGTCTGCAGTATGTAGAGTTTAATCAACGCGTTTCCACTTGTTCTATAGTCGAACGTTCATGAATATAGGTGCATTGGAATGACGATGCGAACAATAAAGTATACCAACGAGGCTTTTCAAGGTTTTGCATACAATTTTATTATCTTCAGGATGTATGTGTAGTAGACTATTGTTTTGATTAAACTAATAAAAAGCTGTTTGATTGGATGTATTCGCTAAGTACGTATTCAAATTGAAATGCTTGTGACCGAATTCAGGGTCATCCGATTGATCCGTCTTCGATAAAATACTAAATCTACGTACCCATTGGTAAAGAAGTTGATACAATTCGTTTATTGTTTCGGTCTTTCACAGTTGGTATAGCATGAATTTTTAGTCTTCGCTTGAGCTCCCATCGGAACCTTTGTCTTCAATGAACGTGCTTCTAATTTTGTTAAGCAAATTTACTTATATTTTACAAAACATTTCGCAAATAGTAAATTACTAGTCTGTAGCTTTCTAATTATCAGTCGTCATTCTTAGAGAAATCACAGGTTTTGTACATCGATCGAGTGTCTCATCGGTAGACATAGTCACAGCGGTTTCTAATAAATTTGAAGAAAGTGGTCGCTAACCAGATTTTTATAACTTTAGTACGTTTAACAACTGCTTATTATTCATGGGATTCCGAAAAATCGTTGACGAATTCGTCGTCGATTTTCACGTTGCACAGCTGAGACATCATCCAAAACCGCTTGTTTAGCCTAGACGCGTAGTATTTGTCAGAGACGCGGCTTTGGATGACCTGCCTTAAGTCCGGAACGAAACTTTCGTGTTCTGCGTAAAATGCCAGTTGTTCCTCTCCCGCGATCAAAAAGTCAAAGAGAGTCACCGATCGCCCGATGATCAGTTGTTTGAATGCCTCAGCTTGCTCGTAAGACGAATCGAAGAGATGCTTGAGCTGCGGACAAGACTCAATTTTAAATTGCATGGCTGGCTGAAGCACGCAGCCAGACGCGACGAGCATGGCCGCGTAAGCCAAAATAGGATTGATCAGCTCCAGAAATTCATCTGTAGCCGATTGTTCATTTGTGCGCTTGAGCCAAACGTCGTTGTAGTCAGAGAATATCTCGCAGTCAGCGCCTCGCTCCAGAAGCAGCTGCACGCATTCCACGTACTGCTGCAGTGCTTGGCTATTACAGAGGTCCTCGGACGACACCGAGTTGACGATAGTGCACAGCGGCGAGCAGTCCAGCCGATCCCTAGCGTTAACGTCGGCGCCATTGTCCATCAACAGTTCGAGGGAGGAGACGTTGCCTCGCTGAGCCGCGTAGTGCAGCATCGTCCTGCCCATCTCGCAGCGGACGTCGACGTAGAGCTCGAGCGATTGCAGCTCCTCGAGAATGCCGAGATGCCTGTTGCCGGCCAGGTGATGCAGTAGCGCCAGGCCCTCCGAGTCCTGGAACTGCGGGTCGACGCCGCTGTCCAGCACTGTGCGCACCACCTCCCAGTCGCCGTACTTCACCAAGAGGGCGGCCGGCGAGTACTGCGTGATGTGGCCGCGCGCGACCAACGTCGCGCCCGCGCCTATCAGTGCCTCGACGACCGCTAGCACCTTGCTCTGGTCCCTGAAGTCGCGGATGCGCGACAGAGGCCTCTGCTCGTCGAACCTCTTGGCGTTCGCGTCGGCGCCGCGGTTCAGCAGCAACCTCACGTTGTCCACGCTCAGTACCTCGACCGCACGGTGCAGAGCCGTGTCCCCTGTCAGCGGGCAGCTGGCGTGCACCGAGCCGCCGTTCTCCAGTAGTACCTCCGTTATCTGGACGTCGTCCAGCGACACGAAGTGGTAAAGCGGACAGTCGAGGTGGAAGATCTCGCTCGCAACGCATTCGCTGCCCCGCAGGGCCTCGGGCGTGACCGAGCGAACGACTAGCTCGGCGATTTCGGGGCTGATCCTCGCCGCGTGCTCGAACGCCATCGTCAAGGCACAGCGACCGTGGATGTCGACCAGCAATACGTCGGCCTCGGCTTCGAGCAGCGTCGCGACTGCTTGCAGCTGGTCGCCGGCCACGGCGTACATCAGCGGAGTCTCCCCCGACTGATTGACGATGTCGACGCGATTGACGAGTTCGATGAGGTTTTCCAGAAGCTTGACGTTACCGAACCGAGCGGCGTAATGGAGTAGCGTCGTCCCGTCGCCCTCAGCCAGCTTGCTCAGATTCCTCACGCCCGACAGAGCGGACAAGATAGAATTGTCCTGCTGCTTCACCCACAGCAAAAGCTCCTGACTGAACAACTTGTCTTTTCCGTTGCTCTGCCAACGGAATCAACGTCGATGCGCTGTTACTTCGAGTACATCGCTCGATAAGTAGCATCCTTTCCCTACTTACGAGTGCCATTGCGAGTGATTTCGGCTAATCAATCCTGGATGATCGTTCAAATGCTCGACAGCTAAGTCACGTAGACAAAAGGACTCGTTCTATTTGACTCCGCACATTTTCCTTCCAGTAGACAATCTCGAGGACTGTACGAAATTTCCGCGAATCCGACGAGTGACGATGCATGGCTTCGGCGAGAAAATTCAATTCCGCTTTGACGAGAGAAGATGCGTTCGCAAAGCCGTCTTGCTCATCTAAACGCGCGAGCTACGACTCGACTGCCGGGAGTAATTCAGAGCTCGACTAATCAAATCCTTAGCGTAGTCCTTTTATTTACTTAATTCTCTAACTATATCCAAAACGTGACATTAACGTACTTGTAGGCAGATCTCGAGTTATAGAGGAGAGGCATGAATCGGCTGTAGTCGACTGCAAAACATAGTAAAATAAGTTGTTGATAATAAAATCATCACCAGAAAATAATGTTCCAACTATTAATTTATATACGTAAGCTCTGGAAAGGAAACAAAAAAAAAATTTTAATATTTAAATTTAGTAATTATAGCCATATTCAATGAAATTTCTTAATAAAACTTGGATATTAATCGCATGATAATGTGATATTAGAAATCGATCATTGTATTATTAGACAACCTTTACAAATAAAGATATTTACTGTTATATTGTGGGATCGTTGTTAAAGGTGAATAGTTGATAACATCAACAAATTCAAGTAAAATCATGAGAATCTATTACTACAATGTTACAGGCGGAGAAGCTCGCACTGTGCTGGAACAGAGATTAAGAAGATTAGCAATTACTAACGGCATGCTGGGGTAATCCTAGCGGCTACACTTGGAACCATAGAACTTGAAACAGTTCGCGTTGTCGCAAATGAATGAAATTACAAACTACATACTACAGTACTACACAATAGTCGCGTCTACGGTTGTAACGCGATACAAATTTGGGTGCCTCTCCAATATCCAAGAAATTCTAAGTGCTGCCAATTTCGAAATTCAAAATGAATTGAAAAGATATAATTCCTACTGTACGTAACCTCAAAAAATCGTAAATGTAAACATGAAGCCGATTAACGAATTGTTATAACAAAATGGTTATATGGAATGGACGAATTGTTATAACATCAGAGACATATATCTTATGTTATAACATAAAATTTTATTGGAATGAATGTTGAACAATTTGAACTTAGTAACAATATTTATTAACAAAACGACTTTGAGATTTGCTTCTAGACATAAAACCTTAATTGGATAATATTTTTATTTTTCAATTTACTACATATAATTGATTAATAACTTAAGGTAATTACCATTTTGTTATAACAATTTGTCAATCGGCTTTATGTTTACATTTACAATTTTTTGAGGCTACGTACAATAGGAATTATGTCTTTCCAATTCATTTTGAATTTCGAAGTTGGCAGCTCTCAGAATTTCTTGGTTTTACGCTTGCTGCGTGCGATTTACATTTGTATTGGAGAAGTACCCTTAATTTTAAGTTATCTGAGTTTGTGGTATCGTCGGCTTTTATTTATTCTAATTTACTTGTTAGATTTATTACTAATTAACAAAAGGCAAAATGCCGTACGCTAATCAACCTACAGTGCATATTTCAGAACTCACAGATGAAAACATCAAGTTCCAAGTCGAAGACACAGAACTCAGGTAACCTAATTTTAATAAAAATGATAACCTGTTTTTAATAAAAATGATGTTAAAACATATTTTTTATAGTGTGGCCAATAGTTTGAGAAGAGTATTTATTGCTGAAACACCAACTATGGCTATCGATTGGGTACAAATAGAAGCTAATTCAACAGTTTTGAGTGATGAATTTTTGGCTCACAGAATTGGAATGGTCCCATTAATAAGCGATGATGTATATATTTTTATTTTTTATTTTTGCTATTTATCGCTTGCAATAAATTTATAAATTAATCAATGATTATATGCACAGGTTGTAGATCGGATCCAATATACAAGAGACTGTCAATGTATGGACTTCTGCCCCGAGTGTTGTGTTGAATTTACATTAGATGTGAAATGTTCAGACGAGAAAACTAGACATGTTACAACATCGGACTTAAAGTCTAGTGATCACAGAGTAGTTCCAGTTACTTCAAAGCATCGAGAAGATACAAATGAATATGAAGAAACAGATGGTATGTTTATTTCTTGACAAACAAGTTGATTTGTTAATTACTCAACTGACAAATCAATATTCTTTTTAATTTAGAAATTCTCATTGTAAAGTTACGTAAGGGTCAAGAGTTAAAGCTCAGGGCTTATGCTAAGAAAGGTTTTGGTAAAGAACATGCTAAATGGAATCCTACTGCAGGAGTTAGTTTTGAGTATGATCCAGATAATGCTATGAGACATACTTTGTATCCTAAACCTGATGAGTGGCCAAAATCAGAATATTCTGAATTGGAAGAGGATCAATGTAAGTTTACAAATATATAAACTGATAAATTTGTTACAGTTTATCATGAATTTCAATTTTCAAAATATGATTCAGATGAAGCTCCTTTCAATTGGGAAGCCAAGCCAAACAAATATTTTTACAATGTGGAGAGTAGTGGAGCATTAAAGCCAGAAAACATTGTTTTGATGGGAGTTGCAGCATTAAAAAACAAACTTTCTAATTTGCAGACTCAGTTGAGTCATGAAGTACAGAGTGATGCTCTTAGTATCCATCATTAAATATAATGTATCTATTTTGTAAATTTGTTTTTATAGATAAGACCTATTCCGTAATTAAATAAATAAATAATATGCTTTACTAATTTATGAAGTTGATAATTATTTTTTTAAACCCGTTATTTTTTTAAATCAATTTAATATTAGCGCTGTAGCAGATAGTAATTCGAACGAAATCGTATAGTCGCTAATTAAACATTCTCTAACACCGACCAACAAATTTGAAAGGATGACTATCTAGATCACCTAGTGGTTCTCTGTTTGAAGTAAAAGTATATAGTATGCTCGCAGCTAGCAGCGGCAATATTCTTTAGAATAATATTCCGTAGAAAATGAGTTCGGATTCAGGAAACACCGACATTCAATGGGCTCTAGATATTCTTACACCTGATCCAAATTATGAGCCAAATTTCTTCTCAAAATGGTTCCATTGGATCGTAATACCAGGTACTGTTGTGAGTGGCGTGGCCTATGTTAATTACTTCCAAAGAAGACCAATTTATGCAGGTAAGTTTTATCAATGATATTCGAAATAATATCCCTAATCAATAATACTTCTATTATTATACATTATTTATTGAATATAAGGGTATAATAACTTTGTTGATTTGCATCAGTTATTGACATCTGAGGTACAGTCTCACTCAAAACTTTGGTTATGCAATTACACATGGAACACAATTATACTGTGGGGGATAATATTTGTAATTCATATTTTTTTATATTTTTATATTTTGCAACTTATTGCTTTGATATTTCTGAATGTCTTGTTATTTTATAAAAAAACAAGATGGCTCTATTGATAACACACTAAATCAATTATTGATGTATTTTTTAATGAACTTATATATGTATTTAATACAATACTACTAGGCCATGTAACGTCAATGCTATGATATGATAAAATTGTGTAGGTCTACGCAGATATGCAATTGCTTTAGTAGCAGGACTTGTAGGTGCAAAAGTCCTTGAAGATGCCAAGTGGCACAGAGAAGCTGAAAGAGATGCAGTTTTGCGGCATTATGTCAAATTACACCCAGAAGACTTTCCTCCACCTAGTGAGTATTGATGAAATTGGTTTTTTACTTATTGATAAACTATTTATGTAAAAATTTGCTAATAAATTTCTTTTCTTTTTTAGAAAAAGAGACATATAATGATGTGTTCTGGGAGTGGGTACCAGTTCGTTGATTATTTTATAACATGGTGTGTAGAGTATTGTCATTGAAGTCATGTAAATATTATTAAATCTTAATTAAGATGAAATAAACACTTTTGTGTTCATCCAATTTGAAATTATTATCATAATAAACTTTTAATCTTGATTAAATTTGAAAATTGTGTACATTAGCCAAAGTTTTCTTTGTAGTATTAAACATTAATAAAAACGTATAAAAGAAATAATAAAAAAACAGTTTCTTGAATAAAATGGTCAAAAAATTTAAAATTATAAAAGTAGTTCTATAAAATTATGACATTATACTTATCTTTAAATTTATTTTCTTTTTGTTTCATGTTTCATTTCTAACATTTAATATCAAATTTAATAGTTCTACAAGTAAAGTAAAAAATTATTTTACAACTTACATTGATAATTTTTTTGTTATAAATTAAGTCATTAGTGGCTAGATTAGTTAAATAATTTTCATATTTTAAAATATAATTAAAAAACTTGTTTATTTTCACAAAGTTTATTTCAAGTATACCACATACACAATCATTCCTATTCACAATAGTAGGCCATTTTATAAATCTGTAACATGTCATTCAAAATATTCAGTTATAATTAAAAAATTTAACGGTTTCTAAAATAAAAGCAATTTACAATTTACACAGTCATACTTTTTCAGAAAAATTTCTCGATAGTTTATATTACTCCTACATATTTACGCATTTTTCATTTCACACTTACACTGCAAATTATTTAAAATTTTTAAATCTAAAAACTAAAATGACACAGTCATTTTAATCTATACATCATGTTGCAACAATAAAAACAGTCGCACACATTAATTGTACATTACATACATATGTTTTTACAAGATAAATTTTGTTCATTATGCATACAATCAGTTTTATCCATCGATATTTTTTGTTTTTTTATTTTGTGCTTTTTTTACTGGTTCCATGATTAATAAAAGACGTCATTTAAAAATGTACAATTCAAATCGATTCAGAGATGATAAAAAGATGATCGAATATTTTGAGTTCAAAAAAGTAATAAAATGGTCCTTTTTAATATTTGTCCATGCATGTAACTTGCGCATACTAATCTAATACATATACTTTTATATATAATACAAATTAAGTATTTTTTAATTTGCTTCTTTTGTTACATGATATTCACACATTATAATGCTAAGATTCCATCCAAAATAAAAATACTTTGTTTCCCAAACATGATACAGGGAAACGAGGTATGCAATACATTTATATTTATTTGGTGTAAAAAATTTTTATTTTAACAGAGCACAATTATTTTCAAGAAGAATCGGCTCCTTGAGGAAGCTGCTTATTGATTTTTCTTATTTTCAACCTTTGACAGTCTCAATTTAACAGTTTTAGACTGACAATTGTGAAAGCCCATTCTTCACTTGTGCGTAAATATCCCAGTTTTTTGCGCTTTCGTGACATTCACGACGATTTGCCTATTCGAGGTGTCCTTTTAAAATAAGGTAGATTCTCTTAAATAAGATAGATTGACAGTACTCGCTCATTTGTGTTACGCACATTTCTTCATATATTTGTCTGCGTGACATCACGAAGCATACATACGGCTAATTTCATGCTTGTAACGCTCCTGAACTTCTTTCCTCTTCAACTTAAATGCAGCAGTTACGAGACCCATATCGGGCGACCATGTTTCTGTCACTAACTTCACAGCTCCTGGTATTTCGAACTTCTGTAAATTGCCTGAAAAAAACACAACATTAGAATTCAAATAACGATTCATCGGTCACTTATTTATAAAAATATTGAATGAAAATCAAGTTGAGATCCTTACATTTTTTCGAGTGTTCAACGAGAGCTTGTAGGACTGCCTTTTCCACTTGAGGATTATTGCACAACTCTTCGAAGGAAGTGGTAGTAATGCCACGACTAGTAGCAATTTCTTCTAGATGATGATGATTTGGTACAATTAAAGCTACTGTAAAGTGCTTGGTAGCATCACCATAAACACAAATATTTTCTACAAGTGGGCATGTTTTCAATTCAGATTCCACTTTTCCAAGCGATACGTACTCGCCAAACTGAAGTTTTACCAAATCTTTTTTCCTATCTATTATCCAACCAAAAGATTTATTCCAAGTACCAATTGGCAGATAAAGTTATAAATTTGAATAAAAATAAAAAGGTATAACTTACCAATAATTTTAATGACTCCATCAGGATGAAATTCGCCAACGTCGCCAGTTCTGAACCATTTCTTGCCGTCCTTAGTGAAGAAATCTTCTTTCGATTTGTCAGGAAGTTTATAATATCCTTCCGAAATATTATCACCACCGATGATAATTTCACCTCGTGGATTTGGCTTATCCGTAACTTTGTAACCAGCTTCTTCCCAATTTTCCAATGCGATATCGCAGACCGTAGTTGGGGCACCAACTCTTCCAGTACTTCTGTCATAAGCTGAAACACACGTTAAATAATACGTTAAATAATACGTCAAAGAAATAAGCAATGCAAATATCGTTTCCTAATAAAATATTTACCATCCATTACAGTAGCGCAGGAACATGTTTCAGTCAATCCATAACCCTGAATCACAGTAACACACAAACAGAGTTTGACCTGCATATGCGTGTCCGGACTGAGAGGAGCACCGCCAGTGAGGATCATTCTCACGCGACCACCTAAAACGTGTTTTGCGGCGGCGAAAATTGTTTTGTCGAAAATTGGCGTGTCATAGCCACGTCGGGTCCATTTCAATTTATATTGGTAAGCGAAATTGAAGATTGCCTGTCTGAAGGGACCTGATCTCTTGACTTTCTCGTTGATACCCTTTGAGATTCGATCGAGAATCAGCTGTCAACGTAAAGCATAAAATGGAGTAAATCAAGTAAAACTGACGTATTACGTTCGAGTAGTAAATAATGAACTCACTGGTACGGCAGTCAAACAAGACGGATGCAAGACACTCGCATCACCCTTGCAACCTTTTTGAATTTTACTGCTGGAGTCGATCATCGTCAATGGCGAACTATATCCAATGGGCACACCATTCAACAGACAAACGCTCTCGGATAGCAATTCGAAGACGTGAGCGAGGGGTAAGAAGCCCATAAATACATCATCGTCTTTGATAATCACACTATCGCAAAAAGCTTTCAAGGTAGCAATGACATTCTTGTGCGAAAGAATGACACCTTTAGGCACGCCAGTTGAGCCAGAGGTGTACATAATGATAGCCGTATCTTCGGTTTTGGGTGGCACTAAAGCGGCATTCGACGTGTTTCCAACTTTGACCACCTCTTGGAACGGGATAATACGAGCCAACTCCTGAACGTCCGAAACTACCATTAGAATGCATACCCTTATGTGAAATTCAAATGAATTGTATACCTTGAATCCACTGGTATCAGCTTGCTTGAGCTGATCCTCCATGTAGATGATGTGTTTGACTTCGGGTACTTTAGACAGGAGTTTCTTAAATTTTGGCAGCAACTCGTAGCTGGTAATCACAGTGTCGACCTCTGTCTCGTTGATGCCGTGCGCAATGGCATCGTCGCCCAGAGTCGCGTAGATCGTGACGATCGTGAGATTTTGCTTGAAACACGCGTGTGCCGCGATCATCCATTCCTCGCGTGTCTCGGCGAAGATGACGATGTTTTTGCGCGTTGTCAAGCCGAGCTCCTTCAAGCCACGACTGAACTTAGCTGCCAAATTCTCCACTTCGGTGAAACTTTTCCACCTGTACTCGCCCATTTTGTACTGTGAGCGAAGGGTAATTTCATGAGCTTATTGTTCAATTTTGTAGGCGGATACTGGCTCGTTAAAACAGCACTCTGCCACGCTAAGTAAAGATCGCAAGGGAAAAAATATCGATACAAAATAACAGGCTAGCGCTTCGATGAGAAAACGGATTATTGCCGCTAAAGATTCTTTGGGTATTGGAATCAGCAACTGTTTGGTTTTTGCCTCGAGCGATAAAGTTGACTGCCACGCGACTCACCTTTTTGAAAACCCGACCATTCGGCTGCACCTCGTCTTCCTCGGCTAAGATTTGCCTTGTGCCCAAGCAACCTTTGTCAGCGTGAACTTTGGCAACCCACTTGAGCATCGCCTCCAAGGTATCGATATTTTGTCGAACAAGGGCGGCGTGCATCGGACCAATGGGATCGACATTTCTATAAACGATCGAGTGCTCGTCTTGGCTGACGGGTCGCGCTTTGATGCGCCGAGAGGCTTTGCGCTTCTCCCAAGGACGTTGCAGCAGCAGGTAGACCGGGAAGGTGATCAGGTCGTAGACATAGGATAATGCCTTGATCGCGCCCACTGCACCCGTTATCCACACGCTGTCCATCTCTCTGCAAAAACATTTCAATTTGTGTTTAGCTGCCTCGTAAAGTACATCCGTCGTCTCTAGTCTTTTGTACAGCTGAAAACAAGTTGAATGAGGAAAGAAAATAAGTGAGAAGCAGTGTTTGCCAAGTCAGCTCTGCGCGGGAAGAGCTCAAGTTGTTCTCTTTGAAATAATCATCAGTTATTTTCTTAATGACAAAATCACATCTGATAGAGAGAGAGAGAGAGAGAGAGAGAGAGAGAGAGAGAGAGAGAGAGAGAGAGAGAGAGAGAGAGAGAGAGAGCTGAATGGCCATCATCACCAAGTTATATACTATACAAACTTATCGGCAACTATTTGCAACCTGCCATTTGTGGTATAATAAGTTGATATTTACAAAGAACGGCAAATAAGCTTACAAGTGCCATGTTACAAATTACATGCTTACAAGCTTCGTTAGCAATAAATAATACTATATACATTTACAGATTGAGCCTAAGCATTCGAATAGAGTCAAAGAGCAGATGTACAATATGTTTTAAGACCTACAGAAGCAATCGCAATATACTTGTCTACGCGTGCGCCGAGTAAAGACGAAAGGACGATAAAAACGCGCGACGGCGTGGGCCAATGTGAACGCCCCGGCAAATCGATCAATTATCGATACGCAAATCACGCGGACAGATATACAACGTCGACGCGCGGATAAATATGATGTGCGTTGCACAAGTGCGATCTCGCGCATATCTACGACTCGCCGGCGCTAATTGATTCTCTCGATCGGCTAAATAAAATAACAATTGTCGCGCGCGCTGATTGTGCTTTTCCAAATGCCAACGTCTAAAGTTCAGTTTTATTTCCGCCAGATAAATACTATCCGGCACTGGTGGCTTTGTCCACAACGATGTCATGCAACCAGCACATGCTGCCTTTTTTATATTTCTTTTTTAATGATAATTTCGGTATCTTCTTGATGTCCGCTCGGTAGTTCCTGGCGAAAGATCAGCGCATGCAACGACAGATTATTTTTAGGGCACGGGCGAATTTTGCTACAGCTTATCAGCTGGTTACACAACCCGTGAAATTCGAACAGTCGTGAATGATGTGAAGCAATGGTTTTTTTGCCTTTACGTAACCAAAAAAGCTTTTGTTGTTTGCGAGACGTTCATCTCATTAATAACGAGAGCCGGAGTAGTATTCCGTGCTTGTAGACGTTATTGTTTTGTGCTAATTTGATCAACGAGCGGCGTAATCTAGAAGTAACAGGGGTTTCTGTAGGCTTTAAATGTCCGTGACATTACTAGAGTTTTTTTTATGTATTTCGATCTCCTGAATCCGAATTTCGATGGTAGAAAGCTGCAACTGATCACATTAATTTGTTGTTAACAAATTAATTATTTAAACTCCTATAAATTTGTTCGTATTTGAGTTGTGGGCCTGAGGCATGATTTAAATGATTTCTTAACTGATAAGAAATAAGTCGATATTTTATTGTTTAAAAGGTCATCAATTTTGTTACTATTCAACTTCATAAGGATAGGGGAAATGATAGGAGAGAAGTAATTACAATTTAAAAACATTAATTATTTAATTGGATATTATGATTGTAAAATGCGAATCAAATAAATAATTAAATTAAAATTTATTCACTTATCTAAAATTAAGCAAATATTTAACGGAGTTCACTTCCAATACCAATAATTTTGTACCAGCTTTACTGATATAATCAACGGTGATGCAAGGTAGCTAATATCGAACAAAAAAATTTTTTAAAAATATAAAGAAAGCACAATGACATCCGTATCTCATGAGATCAAATAATATTTCTATGATCTTGCATGATGGTACATTTTACATGCAGTTTTAATTTTACATCTGCTTTTTTAATATCTATTCAATATAGTATGCTCGAATAGCACATTGTATTAGACTGTAATGGAATCATTTTTGACTACACACTAACTCGTCACAAGAAAATTATTTTATTTTGCGGTGATCTCTGAACTTTATCTTTTTGTTTCGACAAAGCTTCATCTGCAGAAAGATCATGATAAATAATATCGTATCACAGACCTTAGGTGTTTAGAAGATTGAATAGATTTGTCAAAGTAAGAGTCGAAAACAAAATCAATACGTTTCGTGACTTTTCACGCAGATGTTTTGCCTAATGCAAGTGTGCAAAAGTTCATTGCAAGTTTTTCAAAAATACCTTCCTATCGAATTTTACGCATATTAACATAACATCCATAACACATTTTTTTCGTTATTCCAATTACACCAGCAGTACTTTTGGATGAACAATTGATTGTTTGCTCAAACGTTTAATTGGTGACTACAAAGGTATGATGGGAGCAAGTGATCGTTTTACTGTAAATCGGCGTAAGATTAATTACTCGTAAACTTCTTGCTCTCTTTGATTCAACAATAGCATGTCCTCTAAAAACTGTGAGCACGATTTAACATAATTTCAATCAAGCATTAAATTAAGAGAATTAAAACATTGGATCAGTACTTGAAAAATTCTAACTCAGTATATCTCAATAAAATCGTTGAAATCCCTTAATAACGTCTAACTACTTTGTTTAATTTCGTCTAATAAAGATCATTGACAAAAATGTTCTTATTCGAAATTTCTCTGAATTGATAGAATATCTATAATGTCAGCCACGTATTTCTATAATCTTTTAGTTATAACCTTCTTAGAGCTTCTATCAAATAGGTATAAGCTGTTGTAAACCTTGTATAGTTTTTGCCATCGAAACTTTGATCAATCAGAGCTTTTCCGAATTTTGTTTCAAGAAATACTTTGCGAATAACGCTTTCTAGCAAATATCTAGCAATACAAGTTTTTACAACTTTACAATTGCAATCTTCTCCATTGCACGTTACAGATAACTATTTTTACTGAAGCTAACTCAACAAATCCTTAGAATTAAGTAAACAAGTATATACTGTTGAATTCTCGGTTACGGAAGTTGGTACGATTGGAGAATATCCAATTATTTGAATTTTACGCTCATCTCTTAAAAGTTTTAATCTCTTAAAAAAGTTTCAAGTACTTTGCATGGTAATTTGTTAATTGATATTGTTTATCCGTAGTCTCAAAAGTAACCATGATAAATTTTCTTTGTATAAATCATTCATATTCGCATTTACAGTAAGAGATGCATTTTCTTTGTTAATAATATAATGCAGGGAAATCAAAATACGTTAATTTTTTTTTCGTATGCTATAACTGTTTGATACATTGGCACATTTATTTTTTGACACATTATTAATCGAAAACTTAGGTATTTGTGAACAGATGTCTCAAAAAGTACTATTGTAACATTTATAATTCGAGAAGTAATAAAACTTATCTGCAAAAAAATATGCAGTTTTAAATTCAATTTTATAGTATTTCCACTGATTGTTGATAAATAAATATCAATCAATCCAGCTTTGAAACCACTGATAAGTTTCTTGATTATTAAATTTAGTTTTCTTTTAACGCGTAAATAAAATTAATACGACTAGCTTGTATCCGTTGTTGTTATTTTTCTTTATTGAAAATGAAAAAAAACTTACCATTTGAAAATCTCAAGGCAAACATTGTCAGAGCTAATTGTAACAGCGTTCTTAATAATATATGAACATTATGAGTACGTATGTACTTTGTGTTTCCGCGAGCGATAATTCAACAACGTGTCTCGATAATTGTATCATCTTCGTTGTTCAAATTCATCTCTCTGTCGCACAGAAATAAAGTTATCCACGCGAGCTCTTTTTTCCGCTTGTTTAAAGGAAAAAAAAAAACAGCGTGTTATCCCTCATTAACGAATAATGCGCATTGTTAAGGTCCTCGGAGAATTGTCAGTATTGATAATATCCGCGAGCGTGTATTTATTGACGTCTAAATCCTCCATTGGAGACACTTAAGAACGGGAAGTTTTTATGAATGACCAAAACTGCTGCTTCCTCAATGAAACCTTATGCACGCGCCAGCGACGAGTGAAGCGCGAAGACGGGGAGAAAGAAGATTTGAAAAAAGGAAAAAGAAAAAAAAACGAGAATACAGTCATTGATCGGCCTCTCGCTTGTTGTGGCGTTTAAAGTGTTTCGCACTGTAAGACGCTCGTAATCGGATGAGAGCTTGTCGAGACAAGAGGGGATGAATAATTGATTGTCATAGCATGGGATATTATTAAGCACACGTAATTCGGTTATTTGTCTTTAGGACGCGAGGATGACTGTTTATCACGGAATAGTGTGCTTAAACGCGCGTGATTCATCTTTGGACTTTATACGGTGACTCGGCAAGTTTCGCAGTCCACTTACTTTCTGCCCGTGCACGGCTATATAGTCGTTCTCGAATACGCGAGATCATTTAATGTAAGTCACTTGATCAAATTTCGCTCTTCAATTTTCAAGGTACGCTTTTACGCTTCAATTAAAAATAGAACGCGTATTGGTTGTTTAGCAAACCGCGCATGTCATCGCTCGCACGCAACGCGACCTTCGAGGGAACATGTCAACTAAAAAAAAAAATAAAAAAATAGTACGGAGATTTTCTGCGATCGAAGTAATTAAAAATACAGTACTACATATACTCTAGGGCAAGCTACAATTACAGGATCAAGAGCTACATGTACGGAGAGAAAGAAACTACAAGAAATTACACATCGAGAAAAGTGAAATGAAAGAGAGTGCGGCATATCGAAGCATGTATAAGAAAATTACATTTGCAAGGCGTTCTACATATCGTGCAACGATGAGAGACCGCGGAAAACGAACAGCGTGCATTTTTTATAGATACATGTCATGCAACAACAACATCGTTCACGTTGATTATAAGACAACTCACTGTTTGTCATCGACAATCATGATTGCTGGATTTTTTTTAATTCTCTTTTTGGAAATCTCTATCGCTCTCGTATTTCTCGGCTATACTGTACTGTAAGCAAAAAGTTCTTGTAAAGAATTTCTACTTGAAAACCGCTTATTAATTTTAATAAAGCGCATTCTTTATCGTGAAAGGCACTCTGTATAAATGATAAGCGTGATGACGAGAATTTTACTCCTCTGAATTATCGGACATCACACAGATGTCGTTACGTAATCTTTGCACTCTCGAGTACATCACGTAACAGAAACAACAGAAAATATTTTTTGAAATTGATTGATATTTCGAGAAATAAAAAGACGCTAACCGCAGCATTTATTCAAACCGAACGATGTCACCAAACCAAGTGCGTATATGTATTAACCTTGTTCGAATACGAAATCAATCACTCGCCTCGTATTATTTATACTCATTTTTACCGCGTAATGTGTGAAATGTAACTATGTGAAACGATATTTCAGAAACGATTATAGACACCTTAGTCAACCCAAAGCGGAGGGAACAAAATTAATGCATGATCGCCGTTACAAAGATAAGATTGGTACTGCTCCAGAAAAGAAAAAGATCTTCCTTCTTTACCATCGACTTGTTAGATAAATTCGAACGCGACGACATCAAATATTAGAGATAAAGAAGAAAAAGGTATCGTCCCCGAGAACACAGGTAAAAGAGCCAATTGGAAGAGTAGTCGTTCGTAAACGCGTGATATATACACGTGTATTATTACGAAATAAAGATGCTCTGAATTTACATATAAAGTACAATACATTAGCATCAGTTAGAGCAATCAAGCTCTCCCATTCATCGGTCAACCGAATTATACAAAGTCAAGTCGACGCCTACTGATTGGCGAAGAAAAAAAATAGAGAACAGACCGCGAGTATATTTTTGAATTAAATCACTTGGCACGCGACGTCCTATCAAATTATTTGCATATAAAGCAAATCTTAATCTCTCACCTCGTGGCACGTTCAGCAGCAGCAGCACTGATGGTACAGTATCAGTATACAATGTTACACCCCCTTATATATTCGAAAAAAACAACGTTGTCGGCGAACGGCCGTTCAGCGAAAGACTGAACTGCTCGCTGCACGAGCTCGCCGACTGTACTTTCTGATTATCAATCAACGCTACCGCCGACTTAATCTTCAATCTGCGATCCACATATCATGAGAGCTTCGCTCAATTATTTTTGTCTACTGATAAGTGTGAACAAGCGCTGATACACGCGGAAGAAAGAAAGAGATACTAACGATTCACGATATTTGAAAAACTATACACACATGTACCTGCCATCCGTTATCATAGTCGAGGCTTTGACTAAAGTTCAAGTATGTTGCAGTTGTTATCTTTTTGGCCTCCCTCACTTTTGAGACGTAAGAGTAAAAAATAACGTCTGAACGAATTCCAATCCACTCGCACTCGCGTCCGCGGTGGTTCTTTCTTGCTTTATCAATGATGTTTATACCTACTACGACACCGTGGATATTTGTTGTTATAATAAACAATAAATGACAAAGGTCGCGATTGTGAATTTAGAGGTTAGATCATCAATCCGAACGAACAAGAGTAACAGCACAGCAGCTGCATGCACGCGATACACGCACTGATCAAACTATAACTCCTAACGCGCAGCAGCCTCCATCTTCCTCACACACAAGAGTCAGAGCGAGGCACAAGGCTAGATCCCGTATTATACTGTTGCGCGTGGATGCGAGAGGAGAGCATGCAAAAAAAGCGCGAGACCTAACCTAACGTTATATATACGTTCACGGTAGGAGAAAAAGGAGGCGTACTGCCACCACTGTATGTGTACATGTGTATGCGTCGAGCCGAGGAGAGTCAGAAGAAAGCCTTTCACACGCGAAGGACTCTTTATTCTTTCTTGCCGGGCGATACTCTTGAGACTGAAGAAGCGATATCGATTGCGATGTAGGCGTGTGCATCGGGTATCTATCGGGTTCGTTGGAAAATTAAGAAATCATCGCGGAACAAAAAAATTCTCAATTATTCAGCAGCATTTCGCGCGCCGTTTAATAGTGCAAGGGCGTCGCGTTAATAATAGATATATAGATACACGCGCGCGAGAGCCTTGAGCGGTCAATTTAAAGAGCAAGCCATGCACAAATTACCTGCTGCGTTCTTCTAAACGTCGTCTGCACCGTGCATTTGTTTGTTCTTACGCGAAAACAGTTCCCATCGCAAAAGAGTTCGATTCACTACTGCGTGGGACGCGCGCGCGGGAGTATGATCTCTCGTAAGAGAGAATACCACGTGGCTTCCCACTAGAGCAAAAGAGAGAGAGAGAGAGAGAGAGACAGACAGACAGACAGAGAACCTTACGTGGATGTTACGAACGCGGGACCCGAGCGAAGGACGTGGCGTTTGTGTTCGTTTCTTTTACTGTCTCCGCCACTCGAGTGCCAAAGTTCGAACAACTCTTACTCGAACGGGTTCTACACGATCTAAGTTATTGTAAGGACTGGTTTCTTCGGCATACAGACCACATCTTAATTATAGATGATGTACTATACACCTGCGTTGTCGAATGACTCTAGCAAGTGATGGTGCATTATGTAACACTAGGCCTTGACGAGAACGCTTATTATGTAATTGAAGGATTCTTATACGAGATATTTCTCTATTACGCATATCGTTTAACAGACGATGCGTACAATTGAAGGATTTGCAACACGACATCGTTGCTCGCAAGCTCAAAAACTGATTGTGATTCGGTTCGGAGCTAGGGAACGCAACAGCAACCGAGAAGCGACGACGAGACAAAGGGTAATTTACCTCTCTCGGATGGTCGTCATGCGATAAAAATCACTCGGCTGTTGCTCTTCTAGCGTAGCTCATCGCGTTGCACTCGCGCGCTCGACTGCAGCTCGGCTGCGACTGAGCTGCGCGGCGTATACATATAACACAAGCGCCGTCGGTGCGCGTTGCATTGACGGCGGCGCCCTCGGCGGGGTGATTCCATGCAGAAGGGCCGCTGTACCACGCGAGCGAGGGCTCGTACCCGTACAGCCGAGAGCTAATTTAATCGGAAAGTGCATTAGCGTGGGCGTGCTCCGTGAAGCAGCCATCGGTTCACGGGCGGCTACTTGACGAACCGCGTTGACAGCGATTCCTCGCCCGCTGCCGGTCCCACGTTGTATTTTACAACTTTCTCGCGAGCCGCATCATTTTAAAATCTCATTTCGACGATGTTTTTCGTATCATCTCATGCCGGTGAGCAGACGTTACACTTTATGCAACGTGCTCACTGCGCATCGCTGGATGAGAAGGGGAAAATAATGGGCAGGCGGTGAGATGACGAAGGATATTTTCGGACTGTGCAAAAAAACGTCTTTAATTGCTTTTTTGACCATTAAAACTTAATGATAATGATTTGCAAATCAAGTAAACGGTATCTTTTTATACCACGCATCCTTCATAAATTGACATCTGTCATCAGGAAAAAAATAAAGTAGACGACAATTAAAGCTAATGTCTTCCTCGTTCTAGTGTACGTACTATATGTATACATAGTATACGTACACGTAACACTTCGAACAAATTAAACTCTATGTGTTTGCCTGAGTAAATTCTTAACGGAAAAACAGAATGGTCAATATGCTCGGTCAAGTGGGCCCGAGAGGAAAAATCTTCGCGTTCAAACCAACTGTTCGCGAGAACACTATTATTGAATCTTTCGTAACATAAGCGAACGAACGACAGCAGAAAAGTTACTGGCAGTTGAGCAAATTGAAAATATGACTTGAACTTGGAGCTTTCGCGAATCGCAACGGAATAAAAGAAGATCTCGTATGTGGGATTAGAGGAACCGCATGCCTACGCGCGCGCGTTTGCGTGCATAAAGCACGTAGCTAGTTTGCCGTGTTCTAACAAACGCGCCATAACAGAGTGAAAAATGCACGCATCAGACCGTATAACCTTCGATCATCATTTCTTTTTTTCCCTTGTCAGACTCTTTCACGAGTGTAAATTTTCCTCGCTCGCGCTCGCCGCGACCTTTGATCAGCTGTGTTTTTCTAGAAGGAGATAAAAGATTAATGCCAACGCGCAAGAAAAAAAAAGTCATAGTAATCAAAAAACACTCACTCGCGAGAGCGGCTAATCCGTCCTCTTTGTAGAAGCTTCTCTACAATGTAGGTCAGTATTATGTAAATGTGATTTTCTCTTTTCTCTAAATTAAGAAAACATTTAAAGCTCGGCGAAGCTGCGAACGAGAAGCCTACCAGTCGCTAATGTTTCGGTTGAAGCTAAAGCAAAGAATGCGCAAGCTGGAAAGTAATGGAATTAGTAACGTTCTCGAGACAGTGGCATCCGAACGAGTAAAAAGTGAAAAACAGCCTTCTCCCATTTACAAGTGCGACCGCGGACAGGAACGAAGAAAAGCCGTTTATTTCGGGGTGGGTTGCACCGGCGGCTGCGAGCTTTTCTTTTCCACAAGCACGCGAAGCGAGAGTCTTTTTGGATTCGCGCTGGCTTCGCTGGTGGACCAATGGTATCACTCGTTCTATCTGGTGGGGGATGTGGCGTGATTCCCGGTGACGTCACGCGCTGTCTCTCTCGCGGGCGCGCGATGGCGCAATCAATAAATTTGCACCGGCGCTCATTTTCGTATCTTGTACGCGAGTTTGACGATCGATAAACGATGTGATGACCTTTGGACGCGCACTATCTTTCTATCTCACGCGACGGCAATTTGAATTTTCAAGTTAGGCTAAATGCTTGCTTATGGCTTTGTTACCAGATCGATTTGTTGCTATGCTAAGTATCTGCTTTATCGGCGTTCTTCTGTGATTTGAATGTGCGTAACAAGTGAAGTAAATTATCAGGACAATCGCTTCATTTAGAAATACACTGTTTTATATTATACTTTTGCAACTTTGTAATTTAACAACTAGAAAATAAATAGCGATATACAAAATTCATTGAGGGACTTATTACAAGAGGTATACACCTTTTTTTATCAAATTCACGTTCATAAAATAAACAGCTTATACAGTGGATAATACCATAAAATTAAAAGAAAATCAAAATTAAATCATATCGCATCAAATGACAGTCAAAGTCTTAAAAAAATTGATCTAAATTTCATGATTTGCGTTTACACCAGATTTTTCACATTATACGTAAATTCTTGTGAATCTTAAAAAAGTGTTGGAAGTCTTAATAGTTAATGGACTATTTGAATTCCCGTCGATAAAAAATTATAGCAATATCGTTCTTACAATTTAAAGATACACAATCGATACTTCACTAAGAAACTAAGAATGTAATATTCTTTGATTCTATATAATCTATACAACCTCGTCATCGTTTGTTGTTTCCTTTACTCATCGCAACATGATCTGAGTAGTTATACTTTTTGCATTAAAACGTAAAAATAATGCCTCTTGTTTGTAAAAAAGAGTCAAGTGATTCAGCTTCTTATGCGTGAGTCTGATCGTCCTCCACAAAATCATACGCCTCTTCTCTCGTCACACACTCAACGTGAGATACTTTATTTCGGAATTTCACCCCGTAGAATTTGTTTGCGTGCTGTAGTAATTCAGGTCTGTAAGGTAATAATTTATTAAATAAATAGGATAATTCGAAATGCATTCATTCGAATAAATTTGTTTCTTTGTTAGACCTGAAAGTAGTTGTAATAAACTGAGCTTCAGAACTGAGTTCGTGAATCATATCAGCGACTGCCTTTCTGTGTTGGGCATCGAGAGCTTGGTCAATTTCATCGAACAAGTAAAACGGAGCGGGATCACATTTTTGAATTGCAAAAATGTTGGCTAAGGCTACGAGTGATTTTTGACCTCCTGATAGTTGATTCATTTCTCTCATTTCGCCCTTGTGACCCGTAAACGATACCCTAATACCTGCAATGAGAGACATCATTTAGTCAGTTATAGGCGATTTCCATAAAAACGAATATATATTCATTTGTATTTTAAACTTACCAACACCCACGAAACGATCAGAATCAGCAGTTTCTGGAACAGAATCTCCATCATCTTCGCCATCAGCAGTTTTCATGACCAATTGCGCGTGACCAGATGGAACGAGTTTTTTGAAGACCTCAGAGAAATATTTGCTGACCTGAAACGATTAAAATTATTAGAAATTTCTCATACCGTAAATATACCAATACCAATCATCAACCAAATCTTCAAATATTTATGTTTTAAATTTTACCTGTTTAAATGTAAACTGAATAGCTTCACACTTTCTTTGCTCAAGAACTAACATCAGCTCTTTAATCTTATCGTCAGCTCTGTCCAATTCTTCTTTCCTCTTCACCAGCTTTTCTTTCTGTTCACTGAACGATATGAATTGATCTAAAGCTTTTTTATTAACATGACTGAAAATTAAGAACAATTTCACGTAATTATACAGTGACTCCTTTTCTACATTAAGTACAAGGTGCTTTAAGTTACCTGTATTTCTTTAACTGACTGTTGGCTTCCTCCATTTTCTTGAATAATTGTTTGGTTGTCATATTAGTAAACTTTGCATATGTATCTTTATTTGGAAGAGCACCAAGTTCAGTTATTTTTTGTGTTAATTCTGAGATATTTTGCTGCAACATATTCATTTTACTAGCTAACTTTTCCAAATCCTTCGCATCTGATTCCATTTTTTCTTGTGCTTCTTTTTCAATAGCTTTCCATTTTTCAACTTCCAAAGCTTCTTGTTTTTGCTAAAACAAAAAGAAAAAAATAATTATAACGATAATATACAATTCTGCTTTGTAAGAAAATTATTTTATGTGCATTAACAAATTTACCTTTTTAGCAGCTGCAGCAACTTTTTCATTTTGAGCTTTAAATTCAGATTGATTTTTCAATAATCTTTTTTCAATATCTGACAACTGTGCCTTAGAAGTATCTAACAACCTTTGTCGATCTTCAACTGAAATTTCTTGTAGAGCCTGCACTAATTCATCTTTTCTACGAACCAAGTTATTTGTAAGTAAATTCTCTAACTTATTTTTTTCAGCTTCCAGCTTCATTCTCTTTACAAAAGCTTCCTTGTTTTCTTTCGTCAAACGTCGAATGGCATCATTCAATTGATCAACCTGAAACACAAACATTTTTCATAATAAGCCTTACATTTGATATGCATAATAAGCTAGTGAATAAAAACATGCCTGATGTTGATCAGCAACAGATAGCTGCTCCATTAAATCTTGATGAAGTTCACTTTCCAAACCTTCTTTTGTAGCAGCCATTGCTTCCAAACTGGATTTACATTGTTGTAAGCTCTTTTCTTTTGGGACTCTATATCTTTCAATAGCAGAAAGTTCTTCTTTCATTATGCGAATTTCACCCTTCATTTTATCGTATATGTCCCTAAAATAATAGCAAAATATATATTAAATGTCTAACTACGTTTCTTTGTTTTTTATTCAGTAAAATACATACCTAGCTTTGCTATTTTTCGTCTCTGTACGCTGCATTTCACTCACATAAGAGCTGATGTTACGATCGGCATTTCTGATGTCTTCTTTCAATTTAGATAACTGATTTTCCATATCTGTGATGTGAGACATCAGTTCTGATCTATTTTTCTGTATTTCTAAACGGGATCTTAAGGTATTAAAATAGCCACCGGTCAAAGAACCTTTTGAAGATACTTGATCTCCTTCCAATGTTACACAATCAAGACCTGACGTTCTGGCGAGACTTGTTGCTGCTTCCAAATTACGGCAGATTAAAGTTTTACCAAAAATATATCTAGAAATAAAATATAACTATAATAAAAATCTTTTAAAAATGTTATATACCAATGTAATTGATTGTTACCTCATTGCCTTGTCGTATTTCTCATCATAATTCAATTTAGAAATCATTGGAATAGCATCAGGTGTTTTCGGATAATCAATTGCTCTGACGTGTAATCGGTTGAGGGGCATGAACGTAACTTCACCAGGTAAACGCTGGTTATTCATTTCTTTCAAAATTTTGGTACCAAATTTATCAGTTTCAACAATATGATGGAAAAGACGATTACCAGCCGTCACTTCAACAGCCATGTATACGCTTTTATCGCAATCAAAGTTCTCAATCACTGGTCCATAGTAGCTACTGACTTCTCTAGCCATGTCTGATCGCTCTCTATAAAAATAAAGGATTTTGGTTAAAATTTATTTAAACAATCACAAACAAATTTATTTTAGTCAATCAATCTTACCTAAATGTATCCAAAACTTTACGAACACTATCTCTGCCATTCAGAATAGGTTTGCCAGCCATTGACCTGAGACTTTGATCAGCTTTAGCCAAATCTTCCTTTAATCCTGATAAATTGAGTTGAAGAATACTTTCCTGACGATATCTAAATGGAAAAAATAATTATAGTACATATGATTAGATTGAAAACGTTTGATATTTGTGTAATACATACTGTTCTTTACGTTGAGCTTGACATTGGTCCTTCAACTTATTTAAATCGTAATACTGTTTATTATGCTCATCAATAGATGCCTTCTGACGTTCCATCTCTTTTGTATATTCTTGAATTTTCTTGTCCAAAGACCCACGCTTTTCTTCATCTTTTTTTAAGTCCTCAGTAATCTTTTTCATATGCTCTTCTTTATCTTTAATCTGCTTATTTAACTGTTTCAACTCTTGCTGAATCCAGTTATCTCTTTCAGCCTAGTAAAAACCAAATTTAATAAAAATGTTACAAATATTATTTACATTTCAACCTGCAAAAATGTTCTATATCTTACTTTGGTGGTGAATTGACTGCCTCTTCCTTGTTTAGCATAAAGTTCTTTACGTTTTTGTTCTTTTAATGCAAGTTCCCTTGTAATTTCTTCTTCTTTACGTTTCATTTCTTCATACTAAAATAAGAGATTGTGAATTAGTAGATACATTTAAAATAAGAAACGGAATATTGCTAATCTATAAAGTTTACTTGTGGCTTAATATTTTCAAGTTCTGCTTCTTTTGCAGCTATTTGACTTTTCAATTTGTCTAACTCTTCTTCAGCTCTCTTCCGACTATCATTATCACCTCTAACTTCTTCCATCAAATCATTTATAGTAAAAGTAAGCTTGGTTTTTTCTTTTAAAAGTTGTTGTTGTTCCGCACTGCAAAAAGTATTACAAAAATAATTATTTTAAGTTTTTTGGCCATAACAAAGAGAGTATCTATTGATACAATCATTATTGTACCTTAGTGTATCACGTTCTTCTTTTGCAGTTTGTGCTTCCTTTTTGGCTTCTTTATGCCTTTTAGTTGCTAATTTTACTTTTTCTTGAGCAGTTTTAACTTCAGCAGTTAAACTGGCTTGTTCATGACCACTTTTAGCTCGAGAAGTTTCCAATTCTTCAAGCTTACGCTTGTTTTCCTTTAGTTCGCGTTCATGAATAATGTATTCCAACGTTCTTCTCTGCTTATCCCATTTTTGATATTCCTTAAGTTCTTCTTTCTCTTCTTTTAATGTTTGCAATCTTTCCTCTAAAAATATAACATGTATATTAAAAAATATGTGATATGACATTATATATAGTTTTATATAGTATATACTTTTCTTTACCAATTGTACGAAGAAAATCTTGTATTTTTTCAAGTTTTCCTTCAGTTTCCTTTAAAATAGCTTTTGATTCTTCTCTTCTATCATCATAAACTCTAGTTCCAGCTACTTCTCGCAGCAATTTCAATCGTTGAGAATCAGGAGCAGTTGCCATTTGATTTATCTGAAAAACAATAACTTCCAATATTAGAAGTATTAGACATTAGACATATATGCACAATAGTGATCAATGTGAATTGCTCATACCTTTCCTTGTTTGACAATATAGTATGGATTTGATCTTGAAAATCCAGCTGACTCCAGTAGATTCATTACATCACTTCTAGTAACAATTTTTTTATTAAGAAAGTATTGATCCTTTTTCGAGCCAATGACTCTTCTCAAATATACTTCATCTTTGTCAATCTGAAAATATAATTTCATTAAGAATCCAAAACAATCTTTCCAATCAATAATTGGCACTATAACTTACCGGCAATCTGCCATCTGAATTATCAAAGATAATTTCTACATGAGCAGAAATCACCCTGGGTCCAGTACCTTCATGGAGTAGCGCTTGACGCTGCTCTGGTCGTAAATGAGAGAATTCATCACTCAGTACAAATTGAATTGCATAGAAAAAATTACTTTTTCCAGAACCGTTTCTTCCAACTATTAAAATAAAAATAGAATATTAATTTTTTACACTTAATAATAATAATAATAATAATAATAATATAAACAAGAAATATAAAGCTTACCAACTACATTATGCCTGGGATCAAAGGGTTCTACTACTGTTTGCTCTCTGTAGGATTTAAAACCTTGAATAATGACCTATAACAGTCATTAAAAATCATTTTATATTCAAGAAATTATCATCTGAGAAGTAACAGTAGTTATTTTAATTTACTTTCTTACTTAAAGTAAACTAAACATGTTATGCATGCCATTAATAGGTTAGAGTTATAATTCAAAAGTTAATTTTTTGAGATTTTAGGTAGATATTAGTTTATTGAAAAAACGTAGTACAAGTATAATAACTTCATTCTATAGCTATCAGATTACTCAAATATCATAGAACTATAGTGAAAAACTGTGTATATTTTGACAAGTTGTATTTGGAATTGAGTTTATTGTAAGTAAATCAATTGTTACTCAATACCAGATATTTTGAGTGAATGTTATTAAGTTTAATGTGGCAGGAAAAATGCGTGAAATGTTGACGAGTTAATAACAATGATTTATAAAAATCTATAAAACTCTGAAAATAAGTTATGAAAGATAATCAAAACCGCAAATAAAAATAAGTATAAAACATGTAAGAAAGTCAGTGCTCACCTGCTTAATAAACATATTTCGTTGTTAATTTATCACATGAACATTGTTCACGTGTAATTTTTAAGTCTTTTCCACAATTATTTAGCAAACAAGTACTTTATTTACCAATAGATCATCGATACCGCTATCCCAATAATTATGATGCTGGCTGCTGCAATGTTGCCAACATTTACAACGTTCCAGGAATTTATGATCTAATTCCCTATGATTACGCGGGAAATTTTTAATAGTGATTTCTGGTGACATTATTCAAAATGGTAATTTATAGAGTAATGCTTTGTGAATCTTAAGCTATTGGATTCGTCGTATAATTACCGGGACTTTTATGGAATAATAGATCATACAGTAATTTTTTATAGAGTTTATGATACATTTATTTCTTTAGTTTTGTACAGTGATTTAAAAAATAGGTATATTTTACCAGGAAGAAACTATCCAATCAAATACATTAATTTATTAATACCATTTCAAAAATTGATTCATATAAATTAAACAATTAGATTTATTTAATACAATCCAAGAATTTGGCCAACATATATAACATTACTGTCTCAATTTAAACAACGATCAAAATTGTCTCATAAATACTTTAAAAAATGTACTTATGCAACAAGTGTCTGCTTAATGATTACATTTGTTTTTTGTTGTTGTTTTGTAGAGTGTTTACAGGTTTAAAAAAATACGTTAATTAATACTTGATTAATATTAAAATCATCAAGATAATGTGACTTATTGTCAAATTAATTTTAGCATTCAACTACGTGTGTAACATTATTTTTTTGATCAACCAATTCTGTACATAAAGTACGAGAAATTGATGCGACTTTCATTTGTCTATTACCACTAAAATTGACTTTCTAATTTTTTTGAAAAATTTCACATACTTTGCTAATATATGTAAGAATTAGTGAGAATATAACAAAATATTTTTAAAATAATATAATATCATGTACAATACTCGGCCAAATAAATAAATATTGATGAATATTGCTATTTTATCTTAGAAAATACTATTTTATCTTAGATCGTTGTTAGTGTTTCGTTGATTTTTTTCTTTGTCGTCAGTAACTATATGACCATGAGAACACCAAACCTTTGCTGCAGATCTATGAAAAAAGTCAATGTTAATATTACATAATCCAATGAAATCAATTCACAATACGCAATTAATGAATTTAAAGATTTACCTTAAACATTTTGGAGGCATGTTATAAACTTGGTACCATAAAAAAATAGCCATAAATAAACTCCAGGTTCTAAGTGGACATAGAATAGTTGCGACAGTTCCGTAAGCCAGCCAAAATAGAAAGATCATAGTCGATTGCAGAGACACCAGTAGAAGAAATGGTAATTGTTCCCAAAATTTAGACAGTATCTTTGTTGTTTTCTTATGAGGTTTTTCTAGCTGCCATAGTCTGCCAACAAAATTACATAATACATTGCACACAAAAGTGAATCTATATGCTTATGGTAAGTTGATATTTACCGTCTACTAATGCCGTGTGCTACAAGAAGCGTTAATGGGCAATGGAAAGTCAATAGCTGGAAGAAACCGTATGCATACGTAAAAGATCCAGGCAAAAATGAGTTGCCAACGTATGTTCCCCATGCAAAAACAACGCCAGTATGATTGTCAATAATTTCACCTATAATCCATGGTCCTATTGCAAAAGAACGATAAAATTATGCAATCATAGGTCATACACAGAAAGGTTATTTTTAATTACTTCTGCTCACCAATAAATAGATATATTGCATATAAAACTAAAGGGAAGAATAGACGATCTACAGTCGACAATATCCAATGGTTCCTAAGCCACCAACGAAAGCATTTAATACGAGGTCTCGGTGGGGTAGTACTTCTATTATTCATTACTGAAAAAAATTGAACACATTATAAGTATTTGACCATAAAACATTAAATGATCCTTTGATAACTTACAATAATAAGCATTATGATAGACACGAAGGCAGCACAACGGTAAAACTAACATGAGGAAGAGGATCACGAATGAAATCTGGAACTGAATTTGCAAATATAAATATTAATATACATTTGATAGCAGTTGTAAAGAGTTTATATTACTATTGTATTACACTTACAATATGACTAACATCCGACATGAGTATTAATCTTGGTAAAACATCAAAAGCAAGTCTACTTCCGTCTAAGGAAAATGCTTGTGTTATAGTTTTTTCTCTTCCTTCGGAATCTGTAACCGTTACCTGCAAAACACATCACCACTCGTGTTATTTTAGGAGAAAACTAATTATTTCCGTTTGAAATAGCGTTACCTGAATATTGTGAATACCAGTCTTATAGTTTAAGGAGTCCCACCTTACTACATATAAAGGTCCTTTCACATTTTTGCAGTCCATCCAATTTTCATGATTTATTCGAACTTTTACCGTCTTTATACTTGAAATTGAAAAAGCTAAAATCCTATAATAAAAAAATTCCAAAGTATTAATAAAGGAAAATATTAATTTATCAGTCACACGTTGCAAATGTATGATTATTCATTACCTAATGTGCGTTGAGTCAATGATTGATTGCAAATTTTCTTTCCTGGGCATTGAGAATTGAGCATTTTTTGGATTTGTCACGAGAACGACGGGCCAGTCGCGATGTTCAACGTCAACGAACGAAAATTGTCCATGATCAATTACACCAAGTCTATACCTGTATCGCAGAAGTCGTTATTTGAACTATTAATGGGATCGCACTGTAAGAAATTCTCAATGCCGCATTCAATTGTTAAGTATGAGAAAGTTCGCAGTTAAAGAAAAAAGAAAAAAACGTCGCGATAAGCGGTAATTTTGACGACAGGAACTGTACTTAATGTGTTGCTTGCGTGCATTAGAGAATTTACGTAAGTTTCAATTTGTATAGCGAGTATTTACATAATTTTTTTTCTTCAACCGTCGCGATAGTGCTCCTCTGACATAATAAGTTATGCAATTGTATAGTCGCAAAGTAAATCAGCAACAATCGTGCATTGTTCTGAACGAACTCAAAAGTATAATTCGAGAAAAATACAATCAACTTGACAACCAATAGCAATTTTAAAATAAATTTCGCGAACACAATATAACATTCTCTAGAAATAGAGTAAATATGGTATGATGGAACTTGCGATCCTCCGGTTATTAAGTTTCGCGTGCCTGCGCTCGTACCTCACGTAAAAGGCGCAGCTCTATAGGAAACATTAGACTAGAGACAAGAGTAGTATGCAAGTATATGGATTGTCGAGCGCCAGTTTTGGCACGCTAAGCGTGAGATGTGTGTACATACATATAAATGTGTGTGTATTACTGAAGAGAGAGCGCGAAGATTCGAAGTAGACGTAATAAGATCTATAGTAATATGAGTGCTTACATTCTATTATCTTTCCAATCAGCCAATTCCAGCTCGAGAAAGCCAGGCCGCTGCAAACTGTACATGTTAGGCACTGTGCCACCAAGCGTATGAAAGTGACCGCACAAATACGTCATGCTTTCCTCGTATTTGCCTGGATGATTATTTTGATTTTTAACACAATGCGTCCTTTACCATTATGTTAAATATTTGTGCCACTTTGCACCGAGAGAATGTTTGAAAGGCATCGAGACTAAGTTAGTAGCTAGTATCTGATTAGTCTACATACTAAACCGACATTCATCCTAGAGCAATTTCTCTCGATGCAAACTTACAGACCTTGACCGAAAAATTGACGGAAGACACAATACCTATGATAGCTTTAATTCCACCCTCGTTGGGCGCGACAATGCACGAGGTTGGATAGTGGCCAAACCAGACAAGAAAATCCACCTCGTCTTCTCTCGCCTTCTTGGCTAACCGGTGAATCTTGTCAATCTCGAGCTCGTCAAGCAGACCGACAAAGTTGAAGGGCCTCTTTGGTCCTGGCATCAAGCACGCGTCTATTGCTATGAAGGAGTACTTGTCTTGGCCCTTGAGTACCTCGTGCATGTAGGAGCGCGCGTGCTTGCGACCCTGCACCGAGTAGTTGGCGAAGTAATTCTCCTTTGATTCGTAGTTGAATACGTTGAAATTGTCTGCCGAGGAAGAGAAAAGAGCATCATTCCCGTATGTATTTTTTTATACATTGAAAATGTAGCATTCGTATAAATAGAGAACTGTATCTAAAAGATTTTCCTGTAATCAGAAGATATTCCATTTGACAAGAATATTTCTCCGTAAATCAAGAATTCGTCTATTACAATAAGAATACCGTTTGGAACTATTTTAAGATGAAACTCTTCTTTTTTAATTTTTAATGAAGCCATTTATAGACTATAAAAGGTATAATGTATTAAACTGGTTTGGATATTAATAAAATGAGTTGTGTAATAATGAACTTTAACCAGTCATTCATTTCTTTTCTTTCCAATGAAATGCAAATTCAACTTGTATACTCATTTTTATGAATTACTCACAAAAATATGACGGCATTTTTTATGGAACACAATGGAATGTTATTTTGAACTGTCTCAATTAGAGCGTCGATTTTCTAGAATTTCGAGAGAGATATAAACAGTGGAAAGAGGGAATTCGTGACCAGAATCTTATGACTGTACAGTTTGCAAATGTACACATGTACAAGAGGGAGTTAAAGGTTAATGAGTCCTGTGCGTCATTTACCATGATTGCCTCTCACGTCAAGCCACGTTGTTTTTTCGGTAACTTTAGAATCGTCGAGGGTCTTTTTGTAGTGTAACCATTCTTCTAAAAATTGCCGCGAGCCAACTCTGTCTGACGTTTTTGCATCTGTCAAGTCGCCTGCGTAATATAAGAATAAAAGAATGAAATCCTTGATACATGATATAATTAATGAATCGCGCAACAGCATTAATGAAGAATTGTACCGGACGCAAGAACGACTTCGGGCTTTATCGAACCAACAGTAATATCACAAAATTCCTTGAACTCCGGTACTCTTGTGGCGTCCCGAAATATACTCAAATGCAAGTCTGTAATCTGCAAACAAGGCAAAAAAGCGATAAACATCGAGCCGCACGAAAAAAGTTTGTTTAGAAACTAACTTGGAGAAACCAAAGAAGATGATCGGGCGAATCGCCAATGTCGTATTTCTTAGGCTTAGACCATTTTGTTGAAGTTGTTGCCTCATTGATGTCATCGAGGACATAAGAGTCGACGTCGATGAAATTTGCGACATTGGCGACGAAGACCGACAGCATCAACACCAGCATAAGAATGGCCAATGTAAACTTTGCGATTTTCATTTTCTAAACGCTGCCCATTGGGGCGCTTAGTACACACCCGGTATCTGTTGAACAGACAATATTTATTAAAAATATAGTCAGTCGTGCAACTTGTTACTTACCAAAGGTAGAAAAGCTCGGGGCTAAAGTTTTATTGTTGTTTCAAATTATCGTTCATGAAATAACCGAGTAAATCGGATTGGTAAATACGAGAAAAAGAAAAAGTGAAGAATATTTCTTAAATTACCATACAATAGATCAATTTAGTCCAATGTACAGCGTCGTCGTGATCCCGCATTGAAAATATAAAAGAAGAGACCTGTATGCACATATAAAAGAGCGCGTGGAGCGAGAGAGATACACAAACGTGTAAGCTGCTGCGAGTCGGGTATAATTGTCTTCCGCGCGGTAGCAGCGATATTGCATTGTATTGATGCGGAGAGTAAAACACTATACGAAAGGAAACAAGCATCAGTGCAAGTAATGCCTCTTATCAACAGCTTCGGCGAAAGTGCAATTTACTTAGTTATAGGCTTTATTTATTGATTGCTATCGTGCGATATCCACTCTCTCGTTTTTCTACACATATTTATGGAATTGATCATAGGGTTGGGAGGCAGACACTACCTTGCGATTAAAATCGAAATACAATGCACACAGGCGCACAATGTCCTTTTCAACAGCGGCGCTCACGCGATTCTTACCTCGTTGAAACCGCCACGAGGAGGCCGGCTAAAGTACTCGTGACGAAGGAAGTGCGTGCTCATCTCTTCACCGATGCCTATCGTGGCGTGTCGTTGCTTCTTCTTCTTGCTCGACTTACACTTAGACAACGTCGTCTTGCTTCGTGTCAATTTCTAGCAGCGACCGAAGGAACCTTGACGTAGTGTTATATATATATGTCTCTGCAGCGCATGTGCGCTTCAACGCCATTTTGAACAGCTGATTTCGTCAGTAGTCGAGTCTTCGATTTTTCTGACTGCGCATGACGCGACTGCGACGCCAAAGTGTGTTCGAATTTTATTGCGCAACATTCCAATTATTTTCAAACGCGGGATCAAAGGATTTGACGGATAGCTGAATGGATGCAGCTACGTTATTCCTGTGTCATCATTGCGGCCTGGAGAGCCTTGAGGATTAGTTTGGATTTTCATTTTTTCATATTATTTAGCGACGACGTGGCATGTTTGATTATGGCTTATATACGAGGTTATATGTGGTGTTTTCAATGTAAACTTGTGGCGCCCTTGTCTAGTCACGGAAGCTGGCAGCACTCTCCAGTCTCATCACTAGTCGTGAAAGCAGGCGCTCGCACCGAGAGGCGAGAGCGGTCTTCTAGCGCTAAGTGCTGCCAGCAGTACTCAAGCGACGTTTGTTCGTGAAGCAACTGTGAAGCATCGCTACCGTGAAGAAGTATAGAGCTGTTTAGTCGTGCCTCCTTCCAAGTTTTCCCACAATTTTCTCCGCATGCTACAGTGCTGGCTGCGCGTGACATTTTAGTCATTTTGTACATATAAGATGTACACAAATAAACCGTCCTCTTTACATTTAACTTAGCGTCGTTATTTGTATTCAACCTGTTTTACTTTCTCACCGAGATTCCCGGAGCGCAAGACTCATAGCGAACCTTGGGCTTGGTGTAAACTAGTAGCAGCGAGTGATCAACGAACGCATTCGACTTGCAACCCGGCATCACTCCACGCATAACCTTCACAGTGGTGACCCCGATGTGTGATATGAACACGCAACCTTCTGATTATGGAATCACGACTTTAATTCCAGATAGGCACGATCTACTATTTTAATACAGTATACCGTTGTACTGTTCAAATGTAATAATGAGAATAATTAAAAAATCACTCGCTTATTGTATTCTGCTCATTCATTGTAAGATGTAAACCTTATAGCGAGCTATCATTAGCTCATTGAAAGTTGCAGGTATACGAAGAAAATCTGTCACATTAACTACGGCATTGTATCAATATGTTTTTATCTGAACTTCTAGTTCTTTTAAACGAGCTTGAACTACTGTATCTAAAAAAAATCGCATTTAAATCTCAGAATAAAGCTATGATATCCCAAAGAAGGTATATTAGCATCTGCCACAGCCTCAACGGCCATTAGCATATTTATTAATGGTGAAAATAGTCGAAGACTCAACTATGTGATGAATCAACAGGAATTCCCGGTCATTTATCGATGTATTCTGTGGAGCTAATGCTCTGTTAATTTATTCCTTATTTAGAATTTAATCCTTCAACTGTCCTAATTAAATCGATTGTACCGTCTTTTATATTACTTATCCAAACAATACTTGAATGGCTATTGCAATGTCTTTTTCACATACTGTTAGTTTGTGTATAAAATAGAAATTATCCTTGCCTAAATAGATTATGTCTCCTAGTGCCGCAGGTGTCACATGTTATTGTACTTCATTCCATGAACGTACGAGTTTCATAAAAAATATTGATGGTCAATACTAATGATGCGACCATATGCCTTCCAAAATGTGTACGCGATAATAATACAATATCTATAACTTGCGACTTCTTAGCTGATAGAGTGCTATAATTGAAGGCATTTAAACGTACATTTTTGGAAACACTGTGAGATGCAATCGGCGCAAGTAGTGACGAATAAAATTTAGCGGATCCCTGGTTTTTAGTTAATAATTGTCTATTTTATTTTGTATTTGTAAAATGAAGGAAATTTGTCGAATAAAATCCTTAAGCACAAATGATAATAAAACGATCACTAGCTACTGAACTGCTTGTGATGTGCGAAGTCAACATACTCAAATTAACAATGTTTGCTGTAGCATTATTGGCAATTACACATGGTGTAGTCGTTTTGTACATATAGGAGTTACACAAACAAACCGTCATCTTCACATTTACCCTGGTGTCGTTATTTGTGTTCAACCTGTCTCGCTTTCTCACTGGGATTCTCGGAACGCAAGACTCATAGCGGACCTTGGGCTTGACGAAGACAGCAGTGAGTGATCAGCGAGCGCATATTCGACGTGCAAGCGGGCTTTATAATATGCATACATCTTTGCAGCGAAAATGTGTACAACGAAAACGATAATACGTTTTAACAACTTGTATAATTTTAGAACAAAAGCATTGTCCAGCACTGAGACAACGAAACATCGAGTTTGAGCGCGGATAGGCGCAGCATTTATCAGCGAAAGTAAAATTTAATCCACCGACGAATCTCGACGAGCATCACGATTCGATCGTAATCGATAATTGCCTACAAGCAAAATCGCGCAAGCGTCTTCGTACGTAAATACAGCTTTGCCCATAAAACGCGTTCCCAGTCGACCGTTCACTCTTGGCATCATCGCCGGCTGCATCACCTTCTCGAGCTCTCGAGCTTTCTATCAGCGCGAAAATTCGAACACACAAAGGCAACGGTACGTAAAGGCGACGGCGTGAAGGACGCTCGCAACAGCTGATCGCTGCCTGCGAGAGAAAGAGAGTGTTCAGTATGCCGAATAGGATAATTGATTCGACAGCTGTGCATGTGCAGAACACTGTAATTACGTGACGCTCGAAGGTTCAACACTTTTTTCCCCGTCCATCGACGCGACGTATAATTTCGGCAGGAAAATTTCGGCATCGCCATTTTAACTATTTATCGACAAATAACGTTTGACGGCTTCCTTTTTTCCTTCCCGAGTCGTGGCGTAATAAAAGCCAGGCATAACGTGCAATCAAAAGTGCGCAATGTGGACACTTAAAAGGCGCATAAATTGCTCGTAAATCAGCTTATAAGAACGTAGATTATATACAAGAGGTTGATTTTCCGAGGGAAGGAATTTTTGTTTTTCGAAAAAAAAAAAAAAAAAAAAAAAAAATGAAAAAAGAAACCAAATGAGCGAATATAAGCTGGTGTCCGTATGTATTGGGTCATAATCTCGTGTCAGCGGCTGGTCGTTCCAAAATAAATTAATTCTTTTGAAATTGAGCAAGACATACACCGACATATTGCTGTCAAATGAATAATGCAATTTCTGGAGTTTTATCACTGGCATTGGTTCACCTTGAAGTCAAGATGATCCCGCACGTATTTCATGCATATTGATAAATGAAGAGCGATCGAGATAAAAATTGGGTTGGTAATTTCGCTCGTCGATGAGATTGCGCATCCTTTTTCGAGCGCGCGACGGAGATAATCCGAGCCGATCCTCGGGCAGGCGCGCTCGATAATCGCGATAACGCGGAGCAAGTGGATTGCGGCCGCGCGCACCTGACAACAAAGCGCTGCTCGGCGAAATTCGTCAGCGCGCACTGCACGCATGGCAGACACGGCGCGCGGCGAACGTCGTAGCCCGGAGGCACGGAGCAACCTACATTAATGCGGTGCACTTTTACTCGCGCGCCAAGAGAGCGATAGATATATATACGTGTGTATAATACGGCCTTGCGCCGTCGCGGCCTGAATACCTTTTGCCGACCCGCGTCGCGCGCGCGTGCGTGTGTGTTCGCGCAGCCCTTTCTATCCTATCTATATCGTTTGATCTCGCGCTCGCAGCCGCGCATTCTTTTTGGCAAGATGCGCTGAAACTTTCGAACGACGCTTCGACGAGCTCCGATTGCGCAGGAGAGCGCGCGCGAAACTGATTAGCCTGCAACGCTCAGACTCGGCTGTAAAAACTTTGGCTCCTCTCCGCGCCATTTGGATATTTAACCGGTGGCTTGTTTTGTTTTTCGGCTAATGGACATTCAATTGCGAAACCGATACTAGTTGTTCGACGCTGCTCAGAAAATCAAAATGCCGGGAAGGAAGTCGATTTCCTTCCTTGATTTATGCAAATATTACGAGAGCGCGCGTCATGGATGCCGAAGTGAGCAAGATAAGCGAAAGCAAGAGCAGTTTTATCGCGCTCTTGCAATTAGTTTGCAGTTTATAAAACGGTTCGCGCTTTAATTTCTCGATTGATTGGCTCTTATTGGCCTAAAAATAGCTCATTGATCGTTTCAGTCTTATCTCTGCGTTCATGTCGTGTAAACAGCACTCTGAATGCGCGCAAAAAAGCATCCAATTTCTATGTAAATACAAAAAGGGATGTTTTCACAAGGGAAACAACAGGTGCACGGGCTAGAACAAAAGAAAAAGTTGTCGTTGAAACAGGATACGAAAAACAAAGAGGAACCGCCTGTTTGCAACGATTACGAAATCGAAGGGGATATACACGAGTAAAAAAAGTGGTGGCGGCCCCTTGCGTGATCCTGTTCCCTATATTTTCACGACTCCCAAGGTCTCGTTATTCCCGTCCTTGACGTCCGTCAATTCCCGTAGGTCTCTGGTCAAGGTCGTTATAACGTGCAAACACACGCGTAACGCACGAGATTTTGCTCACGCTCGTTCTCTCTCTCCCTCTCTCTCTCTCTCTCTCTCTCTCTCTCTCTCTCTCTCTCTCTCTCTCTCTCTCTCTCTCTCTCTCTCTCGATCCCTTTGTCTCGATCTTCGAACGCCGAATCGAGATTCCGTGGCCGTCGCATGGGGCGCGTACTCGAGAAGATCGCGGTTCTCGTCTTTCTTCCCTCTTGTTCGTCAAGCCGACCTGTGGAAATGACGGTCAGCGAAACTGTCGCCGAACCGATCGCAAAATCGAAAGTCTCGATACAATCTTGTTCCGCGCAACGTGGCCGGAATGACGATTTATCTAGACGAAAACCGACGATCGCTGTTGTTGCCAAGTCGAGCTGCGAGATTTGTATCGGCACTCGAGTGGCGTGCGCGTGGGCATGGTGTCTACGTGATAGGAGAAACACGGTGCAGGCAGTGTACGCTGAGCTAATGACCTCGAAGATTGTCTTCAAAAGGTAACTTTATGCGCTATCCAGCACGCCAGGCTGGCTTAATGTAACCGACTTACCTTCGTAACTTTATACGCTTCAGCAAATTAGCCGGAGTAAAGTTATATCCTTGATATGATATAATAATACGCGCGTTGCAAGCTCGCTACTGCGAAGTGATGGGAACCAAAGGAGGATTTCCAGGGTGAAAATAACAACAAGAGAGTGCTCGGTTGTTTGGGTTGGTATTTATGTACGATATTTATTTCCATTTTTATATTTTTTTTTATTGTAACATTTCTTTATATGGGAATATATATTGATGGGCAAGTCAGAGAAGTAAAAAAATCAACCGGATCGGGGCCCACTTATACTTAATTTATAATAGAATTTTTCCTCGTCGTCTTCGTTTCCCTTCGAGCGTCTTCTTCAGCATCCAGCATTTGTTCATCATCGTTAACTTTGCTTAAATTTCATTTGATATCTCTGTTCAAGAGCTTTCGCAGGATAAATAAACGACTAATAAGATTTCAACATTTCAATTGTCTTTATTTTGTTTTTCTTTCATTACTTCTATACGCTGTATAATAGCGGGGAATCGATAAAAATCTATCATCTCATCATCTACGCGCGCTTTATCAATATGAAATTTGTAAATCTTTAATAATCTGCGATTCACAGTTTATCCTTGTATATTTTGCGATTAGCAGCAAAACATTGATACGAAAGTGTGAGTAGATTGTACAATGCTACAAATCGGTCGCGACAATCATTCTATTTGGTCGCTTCCTCTTTTAGGTTCCTTTTCTTCTTTGTCTTTAAAATCTGCGATATATATATTTTTTTTCTCTTTTGGGAAAACTAACGGATGTCAATTACGATTATTATTATTTTTTTCCAATGCCGTGATTAAATAAAACGTCACGTTCGTTTACACATGGCTACACAATAAATCGATGTAAATAAATGCCGGCGTAAAAATCGACGGATATCTCGTACGTAATTACGCGAATTATAATATTTATATATAATATAATATATGCGACGGGCAAAACAATCAGAAATAAAAACAGTTCTCGGCAACATGAGCAAAGGAAAAGAAGTCCTCGCCAAATGAAACAAAAAAAACCGGCTTAACGGAAAAAATCTCTTTATACTACCGTTCTTTGACTTTGGTATTAAGTCATACTATCTGTAGAGAAAAATCACTCGTTACCATTTGAAAAAAAGTTTCGTCACATTGACTACGAATCTCTTTGAAACAATATTGACGATTTTTGCTATATTGTAGTATTATCTATAATACGTCTCTACGAGTAGTGCAAAGAATTTTTCCAAGCTAATTTTCTTTTTTCTTTGTCTTCCTTGTCTCTTTACAAGAGTGGGATGTGTTGTGTGTACGTGAGCTTACAAAGCCAAGTTTTCACTAGGCGCCTTATCTTCGAGTAGTCACCGACTGAAGTATATCATGAAAATAACCGTACAGAGTTTTCGTACAATATAGAATCGTAACAAATGTTTTGTTTTTTATCATTTAGTTAAAAAATACGGTTCACAGTAGTGTATGTAGCAAAAAGTTGATTTTTTTTGTTCAATAACGACGTCAAATGGTCATCGTAACAACATTATTTCTCATTCAACAATATTATAATAACTTGACAGTCGCATTAAAAAGAACAGCAGAAAAGAAAGCACATGGTTGCGAAAAAGATTTTCGATATCATCTCAAAAGTATAAACGTAACGTGAATCGTATCGTTGTGGTACTACGTTTTTATCATGAATAACTTACTTGTCATCATCCAGAAAATAAAAAGAAAATCTTAACAGTTTTCAAGTCTTTTTCTGCCTTGCGCTCTCTCTACTTATTCGATATCGATCATATTCACCTTCATTCACTTTCTTTACGAAAATGTGTGAGTGTGCGTGTGTATATTTTCATGACTGTATTCCATACGCATATACGTATTTATCCTAAGTGTGATGAATCTCGAGAGAACGATACCCCTGATGCACAAAAAGTAAACGAAAACTAAGTTTTATCACAAGGAGAATGAAGATCCACCAATAATGTCAGTGAATTTCTGTATTTACTTGACTTTTTTTCACCAGTAGGAATCATTCCTCGATGCTTGCCAAACGAAAGAAAGAAAGAAAGATGAAGCAATGAAAAGCAGAGCAAACGTTTTTGCGCAAACGAAAGATCCACTGCTACGCGCGGTAGTTTTTTCATTTGCGCACAATATTTATTGCATGGTTTCATTGTTGCCTTCGTTCTTCTGTTCGTATTTCAGATTAAAAATTCTTCTACATTCTTGTATAATGTGTTCCATGTATTGTTTTGCGTAAGTGTGTATTTGAGTAGGTAAGTGTATAGCAGTAGAGTGGCGAGCGCAACTAAATCTTAATGTTTCGTTCTACAACATGACGTATGAGTTTCATGTACTATAATTAATATTAATAATAATAATAGTAGTTATAATGATAATAATAATATGTACATTATTGTTTTCTTAATAACTTTTAAAAATCATTCTATATAGTGTATAGTCTTGCCCTCGCTCGTAAGGACTATTTTTTTATCAAATAATTCAATAGGTACTTGATTTTTTTGTTTTGTTTCATTAATGAAGCTAACTAGACGATAGTCTTATACACTTTTACAGAGCTTTACTATCAATTATCATGTATTACATTATAATTCGTTTAAGCATTACACATATAATATATTGATAATTATTAGTGATGCTTGATTGTATTTACTTGTTTTGCTTGTGATAAAAAGTATATGTATATAACAGTAATGAGATGCGGTCGTTATGCATGGTATTCGCTACAACATATTTTTTCATTCTCGTGTTCATGGTAAATTATTACTCATTACGCTAAATTATCGCGCTGGACCATTGTATTTTTTTCTGTCTTTTCTTTTCTCTCCCTCCCATAAATCATATCGCAAAAGAAATTTTTTTGTCTCTCCTCTTGTACTCTTTCACTCGTTCGCACTTTATTATCTCATAAATATATACGTACGCACTCTCACTCTCTCAGTTATCTCGGGCGTTCGTCCTTCTTGAGTACATGATTACATAGCGATCTCAAATCAAAGCTACCTTATTACGCTTTTACTATACGGAAAGACAATAAAAACCAGTCAATGAAAAGAAGAGGAGCAAAGGAAACGCATTTCTCATTTTTCAAACACGTTCAATTATGTATATTTGTGTAGTATATATACTCAATTTTTACGTAATAAGAGTTTGTCTTGCGACGTTATATTTTTACTTTTTTTTCATTGAAAGACAGTCTATTATGTTTTACTAACGTTATTCGTCTGTTTTACGCCGTCCCGTAAGCGACCGCAAAGCGACTTTACCCGCTCGTATTCTTTAAAACTTAATTGTTAGTAATTTTTTGTTATCGATTATATTAAAGCTTTTTACTGTATAATATAATTAATTACATATCACGCTCAAAATAATCTTTTTTTGTGTCGATATTCGATTGCTCCGTCAAGTGCTCGTGAACACTTTAGACGTGACATCTCAACGGAATAATTTTTTTTCATTTTCGCACTACTTTCGCTAAGTTTTAATTTCGTATTATATAACGCGCATCTCCTCATTCGCGATAAAACGAATCACAAAAAATAACGTAACACGCAAGCTATCCATTCAACTCCGATTTGAGTCTCTCATCAGTCTAATTTTTTCCATTTTTTAAAAGTTTTTTTTTATGTCACCTTTTTTAAATTTTTAATTTTTTCAATTTTTTTTCATTTTATCTTTTTCGTTAGTCGAGTTCGGTCGCAATAGAAAGAGAAAATAAAAAGTTCAACCGATGCGCGTTCAACCCGCATATGTAGATACATATTACGATAATCGTGCGATAGGATCGTCGTCGTCGCTGTCGCCGCGAGTGTACACGAATAAAAATCATAGAAGCGTATATGTATAGTAAACATCATAGTCACTTGCAACGATTTTTCCCTTTCTCGCAAGTAACTTTCGTCACTCGATTACATCAACTGATAATATAATTCACGCGCGCGAACACATACACACACCTTTTTTCACGCGTTTCTTTTGTATGAAACTAAAAAGCAATGCACCAGAAGTAATAAAAAATAATAACCGTTTTAAAGATCAATTTTTGACAAGACAAACCATGCACAACGAGAAAATCCAAAACCGAGAGCAACTTGTAATTGGTATAACGATGGTTGTAGCAGTTGTATTATCCGAAGGTTAAAAGAGGCTTTTGCGCGCGCAGTACACACATACAGTAGAAGTGAGAGTAGTCCGGGAAAGAGGTCACCGCTCGATATCGATCCGCGAGTACTGGCAAGCAGCGCAGCGCGAGAGCTTGCTTGCGAATTTTTCTTAGTTCGCACGCGCTTGCGCATGTGTGTGTGTGTGTATACTCGCGCTATCCGTGACACTTGACACACGCGGCGCACAGGTTCATTGTACTCTTACTCTTTCTCCGCCCCCCCCCCCTCCCCCGCCCCTCTCTCCCTGCGGGTAACACACTTTTTTGTAAAAAAAGAAAAAACAAACAAAAAGAAAGCGTAATTTGGCATGTGCGAGATCTATATATGTCGCTTCGCTTCCCGTACGGGGATTAGCACACGAGTTGAGTGCCTCGTGCTTGATTAAGTACGGAATTTATACTTTTTTTTCGCTGTTCTTGACTTGTCTGCACCTCTCGTCAATTGATTTTCTTTTCCATTTTCAAATATGACTCGTGTCTACATATTGATACTTTTAAAATTTTCCTCGAATTTACATCAATAATTATCGCATTATTCCTGAAGATTAACCGTATTTATATATTTTTTTAAATTCTGCGTAACATGTCAACATCATCGTAAGGATTCCAAGATTTATTTTGTTTTCTTTTTTTAACGAACAAAAAAAAACGAAAAAGAAGAGCTTGCTTTTTATCACAGCCACACATATCAATTAATCGAATAATTAATTAAAGTATACTTGCGTGTATAGTGGATTTTAATTTCCCCGCCGAAATATCAATCATCATCGAATCCAGAAGGGTAATAATAATTTTTTTAAATTGCAAAAATGCACAACGCCTCATATATGTATATCTATAAATGTGAATCTTGATTCCGTATCGCTCTTTCCTTCGCACAAACACTATAATAACATTTTACTCGTATCTCTTTTGGTTTCTGTATGTCAAGTGTGTCGTAGTACGCAACGTATGTGTCGTCTGTGTTTGTGAGTGCACTCATACATTTTCGCATAATCATCATCGGTCGAATTCCCACATATATACGTATATAGGAATGATTATCAGAGAAAGATATAACATATTACAGCGCGACACAACGTTATTATCATATTACATTTCTTTTTGTTTTTTGCTGAGAAAGAAACGCATCGCGATATACATACTTATGGCCGTCGATCCTCTTCTCGTCGCGCACAGACAATTCATTTTTTGTTGTTGTTTATTTTTTTAAGCACAGCACCTGTTGATTTGAAAAAAGATGGTTTGTTGTTCTTCTTCTTCTTTTTCTTGATCGCCGAGAGGAGAGAAATTTGCCATGAAGTGTGGCAGCATCACCATCATTAGCAACAATAGATACATGATATCAGCAGCATAGTATAATCTGTTGTCGTCGTGATTGTTGGCTCGTCGTATAGTTTAAGTAATCATCATATAAGTCATGACGAAAAAAGAGCGAAGAGACACACCACGGACGCGCATCATCGTGCGCACTGCTCCCCCATTATCGTCGTTTAAAAAAGTCTTTTTTCTTCGAGCCTTCAATTTGCTTCAGCGCGCGCGTGTGTGTATGCGTGTCAGTGTACTTTCTTATAATTTGTGTGCGTGTGTGTGTACGCGTCTGAAGAGTCACGGCTCTGTCTCTCGTTCAACAGTAGTACATTTAATAATGAAGGATGGCCAACTCAGAGCATTTACATGTGATCCACGCGAGTCGAGAAGAGAAGAAAAGAAAGATAAAAAGAACTGCCTTGTTATACTGTGGTCGTCGATAGATGGGGTGTGATGTGTAGACGGCGTCGCGCAAGCATCATCGGCAAATCCATCAGAAAGAGGCGCGACGCTGGCGTTGATGTGCAATGACATAATGAGAACAGAGCGTGAGCTCGTGGATGTCTAGCCCTCGCCCGTGCGAGTGCGAGAGTGGGCGCTGTATTCGGCGCATCACGACGAGCAGGCCATCCAAGAGTTGCAGGTGCAGGTGTAGCAGGCCGTGGGTATGACGGGGGCGTAGTAGTAGCCGTTGGCGTAGAGGTAGGCCGGCGCAGGCGCCTGGTGATTGGTCAGCCGCTGCTGCTCCTGGCAGAGCACCTGGTAAGCCAGCGATTCGATCAGCGCCAGAGTCTGCCGCCGCTCGTGGCCCATCAGGCACACCGTCGACTCCTCGACCACGCTGTGCAGTAGCATCAGGTACTGGTACTTCAGAGCCTCCTCCTCGGCGCCCACGAAGTGGTTCCACAGGTAGTTCTCCAGCTTGGCCTTCTGCTGGCCGATGTCGGGAAAGTCGATGAAGAAGCGCGAGCACATGTAGCGCTCCAGGGTCTTGATATAGTCCGGCTGCGCGGGCTTGTACATCTTCACCAGCAGGTTACAGTACTTGAGCAGTCCACCGCCGCGGATCTCCTCGGGATGCCTCGTCGAGATCAGCTTCTTCTGCAGGTGGTACAGCGCCTCGTGGAAGTCGCCGTACACCGACTCACCAACCACCTCGGGATACGAGCTCTCGTTCAACTCGGCCGAGGAGTCCTCCTTCTGGTCCTGCTCGCGCTGCTGCTGCTGCTGTAGCTGCAGCTGCTGCTGCTGCCGCTCCTGGTGGTACTGCAGCAGCGAGTCAAGGACTATCTGGAAGGAGTCCACGCTGAACTCGAACTGGCGCCTCATCGAGTCGACGAACTTGAGTTCGACGTTGCGGTGTCCGCGCGAGTTGCCAAGCGATATCAGGCTCCAGCGGTCACCGTCATTGCTGACCTTGACCATCTTGGAGACGTAAGCCTCTTTGAGGCTGCAGGTGGTGATCCTCTTGCGCGATACGCCCTCGGGCAGAAGATCGAACAGGGAACCGAGCACCGCGGCCTTGACCTTATCGTAGTTGCGCCCGCTGGACAGCTCCACGGCGAATATGAGATCGAGATCGTTGTAGGGCTGCGATTCGGTGGCGAGCACATGCGAGGCGGCGCCCCCGTTCAGTCTGATGTCGCGGACCCGCATGCCCGCGCCACCTTGGCTCGGATCGGCCTCGAGCTTGCCTTTCACCACTGTCACCAGATCCCGCAGCCTCACCTCCAGCGTGGGGAAGTTACCGCGACCGTGTATGCTCACCACCTCGTTCATCACGTCGTTTAGTCGGCAGACCTGCTCGAACGACAGGACCGCCCGCCTCTGCTGGGCCTCCGCGTCCTTGTTGTTGTTGCTGTTATTGTTGCTGTTGTTGTTGTTGTTGTTGTTGTTGTTGTTGTTGTTGTTGTTGTTGTTGTTGTTGATTGCAGTCTTCTTCTCATTATTATTATTGTTGGCGGCCGCAACAATTTGCTGCTGCTGCTGAGCCAACTTGTTACTTTCCTCGTTTATCACATTGTCTTGCTCGTCCGCGCTGACGCTGCTGCTGCTGCTGCTGTTGCTGCTGTCTGTCGTCGTCGCGATGAGCGGAGTGCTGCCGACAATTGGCACGCTGATACTGGGGATGCTGATGGGTGGAATCTTGATGCAGTCGTAGTTGGCGAGGATGCTGTTGCTCACGACCTTGCTGTAAGTGAGATCTGGGGTTGTTGGCTTGCTCGGCGACTTGCTGCCGCCGAAGCTCGACTTGCTGCCGACTTTGTTATTGTTGTTGTTCTTCGCATTGCTGCTGCTGTTATTGTTATTGTGGGTAGACTTGGGCGACTGGCTCTTCTTGCTGCTGTGCTTCTGCGGTTGCTCGTCGACGTTCTCCTCGTCGCTGCATGAGTTGAGGTTGTTGTTCTCCTTAGCGATGTAGCTGTCGTGGTGCTTGGCCGACCTCTTGTTCGCTTTGCAGCCTTTGACCTGACAGCTAGCGGCAGTGGCGCCAGAGGCGGACTCCATCGTTTTCTGGCCGCCGTGTCCCGCGGCAGTGAGCACACTGGAAAAGAACATAACAAGTGAAGCTTTAGTAGCGTACGGCTGTTTAGTAAACCGTGTCAATGAAAGCTGCGCGCGAGCCAGCGCATCCTAGACAATGGCGTGACCTTATGAATTTACGAGCGCGGAAACGTCGAACTTTCACTCTTCGAGCGAGAAAATGCCTAGGCGCGCGCGCGCGAGAGAGAGAGAGAGAGCATTTGTGCATCTGTCGACACGACAAGGCGTAATTTTTGAAACAACGTCGCGGCTACGAGTGTGCAGGCCGCGCGAGTAGAGAGAGAGAGAGAGAGAGAGAGAGAGATCTATCCGTTCGCTTTGGCGCGCTGGTTCACGCGCTCTATTGCCGCTCAGTATTACGAGACTTGTGTAACGAGCACCACTACTCGAACATCAACAGAAGTGAAAGGCTCCCTGGCGCGATACACATTGTGGCCGCCGTCGCCGTGCAAAAAAGAAAATGAAAAATAGATGAAAACGAAAAGAAAAAAGAAAGACAGAAATAAAAAGAAAAAAGAAAAAGAGGCCACGAACGGAGACACTTGCGCGCGGATGAAAACCGCTGGCGTTCGCTCGTTCGGTCTCACTCGCGTCACTGCGGGGGTGCTTCGTCAGCGATTATATTCCTTTCGTTTCGCTAGATCGACGGCGCCAGCCGCGCATCCCACGCGCTCTCGCCAAAGATACTTTACGCTGCTGGTGTTTACTCGCGCGGGATAACGAGGCTTTTCGCGTCCTTGCCTTATATTTGGATAGTTTTCGTCGGGTTGTTTGGTCCGCCTAAGCGTCGGAAAACAAAATTTGTTTTTATTTTGCTTTCTTCTAGTAGCAGTAAACTTCGGCGAGTTTTCTAAGTTGGTCGCGATGACAAAGCGCACGACGAATTGCCAGAACGTTCCATTCCACCGAGCATACCGAGACGCGGGCAACGAGTCCTAAATGCTGGGCACAGTCTTGTCTTTGTTTGTCTCGTGTTATCTCGTGAAGTAGCTGGAAAAGAAAAAAAATGGAAAGACGGAAACGAAGCGCGCACGCGAATGCGCATGTCTCGCGGGGAAAACCCAAGCGACCGGCGAGAGAGAGGTTCAAGGATGAAAAACAAAGCGTCGTGGGCTGGGGCGCGTGCGTGCGAGCCTAGCGATCCACGTACGTGCCGGAAGCCACGAAGGGGAATTCCGAGGAGAGAAATCAAGAGAAGGACCGAAAAGAAGTACAGCGTTGACATGTGTGAGCCGGAGCCGAGTTTATCTTTGACATGGCAGCGAGCGTCGAGGGCCTCCGAACGAGATACGATTAACTAAGAAGCGGACACGCACGCCCGATTTTGCGTCATTGACGCGAAAGCAGCCCACGCCAAATCAACAGGCTACCGCGGCGCTGCCGAGGAACGAGACGAGCCAGTCAGCTGGCGGACCCGTAGGGGGATGAATAGCCTCTCGCGTTTTCTCTCCCGTCGCAAGATTGATACCCACGCAACCGGCCTGCCGCCGCGTATCGATCTTGCCAGGGGCAACCTACGTCATACCACGGCGCCGAGTAATTTCATTCAGTAGCCGACAGCGCAGATACACATCTGCCGTCACTGCTCTTTCCGTTTGGGAAAGCTACTTTACGACTTTCAACGGCAACAAGTTGTGCGTACGCGCCTGTATGAATCAAGGGGAGGGTTAGAGAGAGGATTTTATTTTTAGAGCCGTGCGTGCCAACTTTGCTACCGTTTGAACGCGAATTTGAACTTGTGGAAGTTAATGAAGCCGGTCAACTCGCTATGAATAGCCGGCTATCGCATGCGCATGTGTAATTCGCTTGTTTTTCCTTTGTCGCTATTCAGGATGGATGCTCCCTATATATAACGGTTCGCCGTACGCATGACCTATATATTACATCGCCGACATTATTCTTATCTCGCGCGCGGACAAAAAAAATCCGGTTGCGTACACGCTTTGGGACACCATGCGAAAATGTGAAAGTGTACAGTGGTAGTTGTCGAAGCGATCAGACACGAAGTTTATTATGCTCGCGAGGCTCGTTGATCGCCCTAATTTAGCCGGCTAAGTTTCTCATTTTCGCGTACGGAAGTTATACAGTCGAACCCCCGGCACTTCTCGTTGCGGCACTTCTTGCGCCCCCGCACTTCTCGCTGGCTGCGACGCGGCACTTCTCAAGGGGCAGGGCCGTACACTGCCCCTTGCATACCAGGGGGTCTCTATTTCTCTTCCGGCCTTATTGGAAGGCTTATTCTTTCCTCTTTATAATTTCAATAGATTTCCGAATAGGTATGGATAATCCGACTTCAAACTTTTAGTTTTATGGATGCAGATAATCCGATTTTAATCTTATGAACCCCTTTATAATGATTTTACACTAACAAATTAGAATCTGACAAAAAAAAACGCGATAGAGAATGTCTTAGATTTTCTTGTCAAACCAATTGATGCTTTTACTTTTTTTAAGAAAAAAAATTTTTAGCGATTTATTTTTATAATAAAAAAGTAACGAAAATATAAAAAAATATGGTATTAAAAAAAAGAAGTATTTCGTTCGTTCATGTTTTACAAAGAAATTAAATAACTAATTATTACCTATACATATGTAGAAATCATAAATAAAATTTATTTGCGTTCAATTTTTTAAATTATCAAAAAAAAGTTGACTATCATATTAATTATTCTTTGTTGTTAACGTATGAATTTTGTTTAATATAAGGCGCAGCTGCTTATTTTGAACTAACTATTTTTGAGTGCCCCATGGGCTCACGCGGCAAGCTACAGTATGCCCATACCTGGCCGTAAGCTCTGATTGGCTGCCGCTCACCGAGAAGTGCCGGGGCGAGCGACTCCCGAGAGCGAGAAGTGCCGGGAGTTCGACTGTATTTCGAATAAACGCGACTTCGGCAGTCGACGCGCGCCGCGAGCTCCCAGAGAAAGTTCTTCTTTTGCAAATCGAAAGCTACGGATAGAGCGCGCGAACGTGCAATGCCAACCGGCTTTTCTTCGCGTACACATTGGTGCAACAATAAAGAGATGGTAATGTATAAACGCACTCATAAGAGAAGAAAGAAAAAATGAAAAACAAGGTCAATAAATCAAAGGCTGTGGAACACACGCACGAACGCGGGGCAGGCAGGCGGATTACTTATAGATACGCGTGAAATATAAATGCGTTTCCAACGATCGAACGGCCACATCGTATTATAAGAAGCCGGCAAGGCTATTATGATTGACCCAGTAAGAGAGAGAGAGAGAGAGAGAGAGAGAGCGAGAGAAAGAGAGAGAGAGAGAGAGAGAGAGAAGCGCCGATCGACTTATAGGCTGGCTCGCTGCGTGCTCGTGAGAGTAAGGGTCTACGCGAATGAAAATTTGATGCGCGACGAATGACGCCGCCGCTTTAGTATTCATCGCGATTTGCTCTACATCCGCGTCGCTGCGATTCCAGGAGGAATCCGTGCGCGCGTGGCGTCGTCGTGTCTTGTCGCCACGGACTTCCAGCTAGGTATTTCTCGCGCCTATTACACCTCGCGCGTACAATGGATCGTTCTTTCATCCTTTTCTTCTTTCTTTACGATGCTTCGGCGGGCGCTCGCGTCAATCATCGCGCTATTGGTTAGCGTTTGTTAGCATTTCAACGGCCGTTGCTGAGCGTGGCGCTAATGGTTGATCGCGGCGTGCGTACCCCAATCGGTGAACACGACTTGTAAGTCAGTTTTCCCGATTGAGAATTCTTGCGGGTGGCGCAAACGCGCGGACGGAAGCGAGCGGCGAGCGTCGCCTCTGCGCAACCTGCCAATTCGCTCGAGCGTTATATAGCTTGTTTTTCCCGCGCACTTGTAACTCCGATGTGTCTTCGTTTAATTGGCGGACAGGCAATCGAGCCATTTGCGCGCAAGCACGCGCGAGAAGACAATTACGGAGCGATTAGTCGCGGGCATACTTTTCCTCTCGCGCTGTCGCGGAACCGCGGAGGTCGCGACTAATTTTCTTCGTCCGATTGACGATCGGTGAGCAAACGGAAATGTCACGCGAGGAAAAAAAAATAAATAAATAAATAAGAGAGGAACAATTTCCATATAAAACTCGTTAGCATACTTTTTTTGGCGCGGCGCGGCAACGATGCTCGTTGACCGAAATTTATTATCCATCGTCAGCAGGAATTCTCTGGGGAATTTTCGGGCACAAGTTGCTTATAATGATTATCATGTTTTTTTTCGTTCGTTCGCCAACACGGCCTTGGATGAACTGATAGCACGTGTCGCGGATGCACCTTTCTGCGTGCTAATTTGCGACGTTTGATAACAATAAAATTAGAAATTAAGAGATACCGCCAGTGTTAATGATTTGCCCTTTGCTCCAAGTAAAGCACGCCTGCATTTCGAAAATGACCGGTCGAACGAGAGAGGCAAAGGCGAGAGTGCGTGGCTTGCGGCCTTCTCCGAAATAAAACGCTGTTTAGCGCTGAAACGTAAATAGGAGCGACGGCAGCGAAAATAGCACGTCGGCTCACATCGTCGGTATATAATCACGTGTCGCCGCGAAGGCAAAGAAAGCGCAAAAGCGATGCACGCACGCGCACAGCTGAGCCGCACACTCGCCGCTAGTGAAAACGAAGCGCGAGGGACGCACACGCGATCGGAATTTTGAAAAGTCTTCCTGCTTCAGAAATTGAGCCAAGTATTTTAATATCGGCGGAATTCGATTGCAAGCGAGTCCGACTGGTAAAGCCGCGCGTCGAGAATACTTTGGTATAGCGAGCGTGTGAGTTTTGAGCAGGTTACAGCGATAAGATTCGAATGAGCTAACTATATCGTCGGTGGCGGCGAAAGAGAAGCAAAAGGGGGGCCTTCGTTGCCGAAAAGCGCAGCGACACAGACAAGAAAGAGGGGAAAAAAAAGAGGCGCGCGACCATAGTTGGCTATGAAGAGCACAGGCGTTCGCGCGCGCGAGCTGACGTAGAAGAGAGAAGGACGTCCTGGTTACGCGACTCGGCCGGTCGTTGCACTCTCTC